CTATTGCCGCCTTTGCGGTGGAATACTCACGTCGTTACTTGTGGCAAATTTGGATTGGATGGGTGCTCCTTACTGTCGGAACTGGACTCTTTGGGCTCTGGCACATTGAGCAAGGCATGGCAATGACCGCAAGCTTTCAAGTCATTGCTGGCATTGGCATTGGCTCCCTCTTTACCGTCCTGCCCATACCCATGCAAGCCAGCCCAGAAAAAACGGAAGATCAAGGCCTGGCCGTAGGTATGCTTGTTGCTTTTCGGCTCTTTGGCGCGCTCATCGGTCTTGCTATTGCATCGACGGCGTTTAATAGTAGATTTGGGCAAGCTATTGCATCTATCGGGAACACAATCTCCGACATTCCGCATTTAAACCCCAAAGATGCGCTATCTTTTATCCCCGGTTTGAAAGGCACTACCATGCCGCACGAAACTTTATTGGCTGTCCAGGGGGCCTACACAGAGTCTTTCCGAGTAGTGTTCTATGTTCTTGCTGCTTTTGGTGCGGTGGGCGCTATGACATCTCTATTGACAAAGGAGCTAACCATCGAGTCGGAGGAGCAAGGAAAGCAGGCATTCAATGCATAGGCTTGAGCTATAGAGGGATAAACACTATGTTCTTTAAGCTTATCCGTCATTATCACGCGTTAGACCCCGGAAGAGACTCTACCTCCAGACCTTATCATGTCGTAGCGATAATCGATCGACCTCTATTCAACTTTCAAATCAAACTCGAATGAGATGGAATTATGCGCAGGTTATACGAATTTGTGATGGACAGGCACCAGACTTTTAAGGTCTCGGGACGCAGCGCTGAACAGAAGCATTCAAGCGCACACAAGGATTAAAAAAAAATACTTGTAATCTATGCACGGAGTAGATCGTGAAATGCAGCGAGAAATTCTACTTTAGTGACAGTGTTAACGTCGTCGAGGCACGCGAGCACACGATGTTTTATAGGCGAGTTACAAGACGGCGTGCGAGCCCCTAGTGCTTAACTCCGCTTTCGGCCCCGCGAAGCAACGAAGCCATCGCGAACAGTGAATCAAATCCATGCCAATTGTCCGTATATAGCTGCCGCATCAGGACCCTGATCATAAATTGCAACAGAGTAATATGTTCTAGGGTATCTTTTTCTGTATTATTCGTCTTCTATACTTCGAGGTTGATCTGCTTGCCAAATCTAGCATAAAGATCGACTTTTAATTCCGTCATTTGCTCTTTGATGGTGCTTATCTTCTCCTCCAGGGCTCCGGTATCCTCTTCGATTCGCGTGGTCGCTGTGCTCAGCATTTCTTGGGCCTGTTCAAGCGGCAAGTGGAAGAACGCATCGCCAATTCTATATCTGCGACAACAGTCAATACAGGGCTATTCCCAGCGCATTTTCTACTGGCTGGGGTCTTATACCGAATCTTCTCGTCTTCGTCGGCGAGCTCAAGTTCCGTCGAGAGGTCGTCTAGCTCTTCCTTTTCTTTCTGTTGCGCCGTCGTCAGTGAGAAGCCCGACACCACCAAACAAGTGAAACAAACATTTTTTGCCTTGAGCTCTTCTTCGAGAAGGAGTTCTCTTTGGTGCAGTCTGCTGAATCTATTGATCTTGTCTTGATCCTCGCGACGGACCTCGACTTCTTGCCCTGCGTTCTCCTCCTCCTTGGAAAGCTGCGCAACACATGTTAGCCATGAGAATGGTAGAGCGGCACCTGTATAAGCTGCATACCATGCGCCTTTGTAGTAATGACGACATTCTGGGAGCTATACTGCAGCCAACGGGGCCTCGTTTGCTGGCCTTGCTTAATGCTGAAGCATCCTGAGCCAGGAGCTCAGGAATTGGTGGTGGGGTACGGTGCGCAATCCGTGCTGTTCCCGTCTTCGCACCGTCTCCTCCACGAGGCTGGCCCCACACAAGCTGACAAGACAGCTTAGGACGCGACGGGGGATTGACGTAATTTCGATCCTGTTCGCGTCCAGCTCTCGCTGAAAGACAGTATCAAAATGGGCACAAAAACATATCCAAAAGCGACTTTGAAGAAGATAATCAAGGCGCACTCGAATCATACACTGCAGAGGGACGCCGACGTGTCGGTACGCAGCCTGGCGCATCCCTTTTGTTTACACTGCTGACCATGCGACAGATCTACCTTAACTATGTGCTCTTCATGGAAAGGTGGTACTTGTATGTAAATGACATGTTTGCGAGCTTGCTAACATGATGTTCAGCCTGGTGAAAGAAGCGGCCATTCAGTCCAAGCAGTCGGGCGAAAGAGGTCTCACCACCCGAAGTGTCAAAAAGGCTACCCGAGTACGCATGACAACGATCTTGTCTCCCGATTAATTGCTGATTACTATTTCAGGATATTCTTGCCAAGTTCAAGGGTTGAAAAATACGCGAACAGAAGGGCATCTACTACGAACGCCGACGACAGTCTGGGAACAGCACACAACCCCCTCGCAACCCAATCTTGAACGGCTTCATAACTCGACCGCGACACCACATAATCGGGATACTGGTCCAGTTGCGCATTGTCGCGCAAATGTCGAACTCAATGGGTGGGAGAAACTGCCGTGGTTGACATCAGTCGGGGCAAGTTTAAAGAGTCGCAGAATCAGCATCTGCTTACTGCAATGCATGATCACCCCCGATGTGCGCACGAGATCAGGCCCACACTGCCTCAACAGTTACATTCAGGCACCGACGCCTCGCCAACGCGCGATGAATTTAATTCCTTAGTATTTACTAGCGATTAGAATAACTTAGATACCCGCCTCTATGGAATGATGATCAAAGAACAAACGCTTTATTTCGCGCCCAATTGATGCCCAAACCGTCGTGTTTCTCTACGGTTCTAGAAACCCGTCTCCCCACTGCCCGGTGTGCGGGCGGCGGCTGTCGTTGAGCAAACGGGCACCAGTGCACCACCACCCGCTAAACGCACCGTCAGTTTCACTCTTCCACATCGACTAATCGAACTTTTCTCCTCACCCCTAGAACCTGCACTTCTTCCGCTACCACTGCTTTGCCTTTGTGATATCACGTCTCCGTCTTCGCATCTATCGCCGCATTGGAGCATTGTCATTTTACCCTTTTCTATCTATCCATTCGACTGTCGTCCTCCATTTCCGTCGACCCCTTTGAGACAAACACTCATACAGCTATACGACATCTTTCGAACGATCGCCATGGCCGCCTCGACTGTTACCCAGCCCATGTCCAAGTCGGCCAAGAAGAAGGCTGCCAAGGCCATCGAGCGCACCAATTCTCCCGCTCCTAGCACTGCATCTGGTGCTGCCTCTGCGGACAAGGCCGATGACAGCTTTGAGAGCCCGTACATCAAGGAGCTGCAGAAGTATGTGTCACACACGGTAATGTCTTTTCGCATCGCTCAGGACTGAACTAACGCGTCGTCAAGGTACATCCGCAACATAAACAAAAAGATTGTAAGCGATTTGTGTCCTTCTTGGCTGCATTGCCACTCAATGCTAACGGCCACTTCCAGGTAAACGCCACGAAAACCGATTCCCTTCTAGCTGAGCACAAAGGCAAAACCCTCGACGAACTGGTTGCCGCCAAGATCCTCAACAACGACCAGAAGGCCCAAATTATCAAGAAGCCTAATCTGCAGGCGCAGCTGGCGCTCCTCGAGGAGCAACTTGCTCAATATCAGAGAGTGCATGACCAGTATGCGGCCCAGGCTGCTGCTGACAAGGCCGAGTTCGAAAAGACAATTCTCAAGGTCAAGGCCGAAGTGGCTGCGGAAGCCAAGCAGGCCTTTGAGCAGAGCTTCCAGAACGACCTCCTCCTGTTGTCACAGTTCCTCCGCTTAGCTGCATACCGCCGGGAGGAAGGCAGGGACACGGAGTCGGATCAAGCCCAGGCTATTGAAGGTGTCCTGCTCGCCATATACTCTGGAGATAGCTCTGCTGTAGCTGCCATGGTGAAGTTGTTGCAGGGATCAGACGAGAAAGTCATCAGCGTTCCCGGAGAGACGCTGGAATCAACTTGTAAGCGGACAGCGCATATTGATTTGCTCTTGTTACTGACATGGCACTAGACTCTGAAATCGGTGCGCTAGCTAAGGGCTACACTACAACAGGTTATACCGAAACCACACAGACGGTGGAAACGGGGACGGAGGACTCCGCTCCTGCGGCCAGCACTGTTGCGGAGGCCGATGTGGCGGAGGCCAATGTGGCGGGAATTGAAGCTGGCGCTGAGGCTCTGACTATCATCGAAGCTACTCCAAATGGGCTGGCTAATGGCAATGACTTGTCCATTTCGCAAGAATGGGTGAATGTCAAGGCTCCTCAGGATGCAGCCGCCGAACCTGCTGTACCAGTAGAGGCCCAAGGTGGTCGATCTTGGGCTGATGATCAGCCCGAAGTGAGCACCGCTGTGAGTTGACATCTATTCAGTCCATTCAAAATCGTATTCTAACTAGTGATAGGCTGCTCCTGGACACGCGCAGACGACTGATGATTTCCATCCGGTACAGCGCAATAGGGGCCGTCATGACCGTGAGGGAAGTGGCAATTTTCGTGGCCGCGGCCGTGGAGAATATCGCGGCCGAGGTGGTCGCGGTGATGGTCGGGGTAGGGGAAGAGGCAACAATCGGAACACGAACCCGGGAGGTGCTGCCCCTCGACCCCCTCGTCAGGAGGGACAGTAAACTACTTGCCGAGTCAGCTACAACCTGAATAGTATGTCAGGCGATACATTCTACCGTTCTCTATATTGTAGAGGAATTTGTACACAACGGCATCGCGGCGTTTTCGGTCTTCACCGATTTTTTTGGCACTGAATCTTGGAGGATTGGGAAGGGCCAGCAGGAAGCACCAGGGTGGCTATGAAGTGTCCAGAACTTGGTGTAGGGCTGGTGGCAAACTCGTGTATAGACGAGCCGGCTGAATTAATGTAAAATACGGCTACATATGAAATGATGAGGGGCGTTTACGGCCTCGGCCGATTCTGGAGCCATAACGAGGACAATTTGGTTGAGAAACAAGGCACCCGTCACGTCGAAGACTTAAGTAGCTTGTTGAAGGCTACAGAGTCGACTAGAATACAGGCAGCAAGCAGGGTCAATTGGTATGACAGACTCTTTGCTTGATTTGAGGGATGATAGAGACGTTGACTTTTTACTTGATGAGCGAAGGCTTGGCCCGGAAGTGCTCCAATTGAGACTGCTACCCGATCAAGGAGGTATCAAGACAATAGTTTGGACTGGGGAGGCAATTCCATGATTGCATCTGGGGCTGGCGTCTTCTAGAGCCGACTTCCACTTCCGTTTACTTCGTACAGATTGCATGCACGTCGGACAATTTTGACGGGTTTAACGATTATGCTTATTTGCAGACGTTAAGCCACTGAAGCTCACAGCCTTACAGGCGAAAGGGCATGTGGCGCAGCCTGGTGGCACCAGCTCTGAAAGCGTAGAGGCAGGTACCAAGTACCTTGCTAGTACCGTATGCACCAAGAAACTCTGCAACTTGTCCTCTTCGGTACCTGCGCTACCCCGAGCTTTCCTGTGGAGCTCCAAGCTGTCCTCTCGAAATGCTTCTCTGGCCACATCAACCATTACTGCATCACCAAAGGACACAAAAAAGAGGACGACCCGCCCACCTCTTTGGAGTATTAATTGAGTCATCTAGACTTTGTCGTCTGCTGAATCTTCTGATTTCCAGTCTCTTTCCTACCCTTTCCCTGTTTTCCTCGCTGGTCCCGATGCATAATTCTTTCTGATAGCCACGGCTACACGAGACACCTTTTCGCAACTTGTCCCGCCACCGCTTCTACACCACACCACAACATTTGCGGCACAATGGCGCGCTTACGCCTCTCGTCGCTTATGACGCTCCTCGGAGCCGTCTTCTTCTTCTCCGCTAACGTGATGGCTGTCTCGGCTGTCCTTGGCATCGATCTCGGCACAGAGTACATCAAGGCCGCCCTTGTCAAGCCTGGCGTGCCTTTCGACATCGTCCTGACCAAGGACTCGCGACGCAAAGAGACTTCCGCCGTTGCTTTTAAGCCGGCTCCCGGCGGCGTCAAGCCAGGCCAGTACCCCGAGCGAATGTATGGCAGCGACGCCATCGCCCTCTCCGCCCGATTCCCTGGCGAGGTCTACCCGAACCTCAAGACCCTCCTTGGCTTGCCCTTTGACGATACAATTGTTGCCGAATACGCTGCGCGTCACCCAGCCCTGCAGCTGCACAAGCACATCACCCGCGGCACCTCCTCCTTTAAGACCAACACCCTGACCGCCGAACAAGAGTCGTGGATGGTCGAGGAGCTGCTCGCCATGGAGCTCCAGAGCGTCCAGAAGAACGCCGAGGCTCTCGCCGGCGAGGCTTCGTCTGTCCGCTCCGTCGTCATGACTATTCCGCCCTTCTACACCACAGAGGAGCGCCGTTCCCTCCAGCTCGCCGCCGAAATGGCCAACCTAAAGGTTCTCGACATTATAAGTGACGGCTTGGCCGTTGGCCTCGAGTACGCCAAAAAAACGCGCCAGTTCCCCAACATAAACGAAGGCGGCAAGCCCGAACACCACATGATTTTTGACATGGGCGCTGGCTCTACCACCGCCACTGTGCTTAAGTTCCAGAGCCGCAATGTTAAGGACTTTGGCAAGTACAATAAGACTATCCAAGAGGTTCAGTCGCTCGGCGCCGGATGGGACCGCACTCTTGGCGGTGATGCCCTCAACTACCTCATCATGGACAACATGATTTCGCAATTTGTCGAGTCCAAGCCTGCCCAGAAAGTATCTGCCACCTCAGACAGCGTTCGCGCCCACGGACGTGCCATGGCTAAGCTCCTCAAGGAAGCCGAGCGTGTTCGCCATGTCCTGAGCGCCAACCAAATCACGTCTGCTGGCTTTGAGGGTCTCTACGAGGATGTCGACTTCAAATACAAGCTGACGCGTGACGACTTTGAGGCCATGGCCCAAGATTTCCCCGACCGTGTTGCTACCGTTGTCAATGACGCTCTCAAAATGGCCGGCCTTGACATTGTTGACCTCGATTCTATCATTCTTCATGGCGGTGCTACCAGAACGCCCTTTGTTCAAAAGGCTCTCGAAAAGATCGCCGAACCTATGAAGGAAGGAGAGCAAGGCAAGCTTCGCTCCAACGTCAACTCCGACGAGGCTGCTGTATTTGGCGCCACTTTTCGTGGCGCTGAGCTGTCTCCTAGCTTCCGCGTCAAGGAGATTCGTATCTCCGAGGGGTCCATGTATAATGCTGGCATCAAGTACACTAACACCAATGGCAAGGAGCAGCGCCAGCGACTTTGGACCTCTGTTTCACCTCTCGGTGGTGCCCCCAAGGAGCTTACTTTCAACGACCTCAAGGACTTTTCCGGCAGCTTTTACCAGCAGGTGGGCCAGGACGATAAGACTGTTGCTACATTTGCCACCAAGAATCTGACTGCCACGGCTACTGCTCTTAAAGACAAGTATCCCTCCTGTGTCGACTCTGAGATTGTGTTTAAGCTGGCCTTCAAGCTGGCCGCCGACAATGGTGAGGTTGCCGTTGCCTCGGCGATGGTCGAATGCGAGGCTGAAGTCAAGGAGACTCTGATGGACGGTGTCAAGAATCTCTTTGGATTTGGCAAGAAGGATGCGTCCGAAGACGGCGAGGATGCCAAGGCCGACTCTACTTCGTCCAAGTCCGATAAGAAGTCTACCAAATTTGCAAAATCTAAGAAGTCTTCCAAGACATCAAAGAGTACTTCCTCCTCTACTGAATCGACTGCTTCTGCCTCTACGGATGCCAAGGATACCACGTCAACTGAGGCGGCCGAGGTTCCCAAAGAGGACATCAAGAAGACGCAGCTTGTCAACATTCCAGTGGAAGTTGTCATCGAAAAGGCCGGCATTCCTCAGTTCACCAAGGAAGAGCTTACTACTTCTAGAGATCGCCTCAAGGCCTTTGCCGCTTCCGACAAGGCCAGAGCTCAGCGGGAGGAAGCACTCAACAAGCTTGAGGCTTTCACGTACAAGATTCGCGACCTTCTCGAGAACGACGAGTTTGTCGCCAAGTCGACCGAGAAGGAGCGCACTGTTCTCTCCGAAAAGGCGAGTGAAGCCAGTGACTGGCTTTACGAGGAGGGCTCCACTGCCGCCAAGGATGACTTCAAGGCCAAATTAAAGTCACTACAAGATCTTACCGATCCAATTCAGAAGCGTGTGAAGGAATCCACCGCCAGGCCCGAGGCTGTCAAGCAGCTCAAGGAGCTTCTGGCTCAGACTGATAATTTCCTTGAGGGTATCTACAAGCAGATTAATGAGCACGAGGAGTACCTGGCCAGTTCTTCGGCGGCTTCTAGCTCCACCTCCACTTCGTCTGCCCCTGCCGAGTCGTCGACGGGAGAGTTTGACGGTCTTGAGGATGAGGACTCTACTGAGACCAAGGAAAAGGTCGAGGAGGAAATACCCGCGGCGGCCATTCCGCCGCTGTACAAGCGCGAGGACCTTTCCGAGGTTGAGAAACTCAACACCGAGACCAAGCAGTGGCTGGAAGAGATGAAGAGCAGACAGGACAAGCTCGGTGCTACCGAGGATCCCGTGCTGCTCAGCAGCGAGATTATTGTGAAGCAAGACAAGCTGAGCAAGGCGAGCATGGAAGTGGCTATGAGAGGCATTCGCTCGTTTAATGGCAACGCCAAAAAGCCCAAAAGCAAGAAGTCTACCAAGTCTAAGGGCAAGGGTAAAGGCAAGGACAAGAAGTTTGACGTTGGCGACATTGATGCCGAGGTCTTTGGGGAGGGCATTGACCAGGAGGAGCTTGACAAGATTCTCGAGCAGCTTCGAAAGCGCAAGGCTGAGGAAGACAAGAAGCAGGAGGAAACTGAGAGCGAGAAGAAGGCTGAAACGGAGCAAGGACATGACGAACTGTAGACAGTTCCAACGAATAATGCGTTCCCACAGGAATGAGGGACAAGTATATCAACACTGTATATATGTAACAACTGAGGGGAGCTTTTCATAGAATAGAAGGCAATTGCGTCCGCATTTGCGCTGGTCAGAAAAAATTGATGATGTCAACTTTATGTCGTCGGGCATTTTGTCTTTACGCTGTCGTGCCCCCTGTCGTGGCCTTGTGCAGCATCGCGGGTTACTGCATGGCCAGAAGAGCAGCAAGGCTAGACCGTGACATGAAGCACGCCATCTGCACAGAGTTGGCTCCGTTAATTTCTCTCATGGCCGCATCATGCCGTGTTTGATTCGTGCTACGTGGCACCAGGACAATGAAAGGGTCGTTTCGGCGACTGATAAGAGACAGCCTTGGTGCGAAGAGCTCGCAGCAGAGGCTCAAGTCGAGAATTCCTTGCGAAACAAGAGCCAAAGGAGGCGTTGAGGGGTGCTTGTAGAATCACTTGCTGTCGCAGGCCCGGAGCGAATTCGCCGCTTCGTATTGTTGGTGGTGGTGATGATGCGTGTACAAGTTTACAGCTGGCAGACGGGGCTGGCCGGCAGCTGCCAAGTGACGTTCGTTTGTGCCTACCCGTTTTCCGCAATCTGCTTCAGACGCCTCAATAAGGTGTTTTTCCGTTTTTGACCGTAATCCTCTGACTGGGTCTTGCCGCTCACTTTTGTCCATCACCCATCCTTCTCTGCAGCTGGTGGTTTTCCCTTCATTTCTCTCATCTTCTCATTGCGCAGTCAGTCACTTATTGTCGCTCGCTTCCTCTCTTGCAGCTTCCATTCGAAGAATTTCCATTACTTACTCAGTCACTCGCTCCTCTCTCATTCTTTTCGTTTTCCACACAACTGTTTTTTGAATCCTCGAAACTCTCAGCCCCCACGCTCCAAACACGCTTCGCCTCGATTCGCCATGTTGTGGCAGTGCCTGTCTTTTCTGTCGCTCGCGGCTTCACTTGTCTCAGCTTCTGTGCTTCCCATCCGGAATAATCAGGATCTAGGCTCGACGACCTTTTCCTTCGAAGTGGCGCGCAGTGACACGGACAAGAGAGATTTTCACCGTGACTGGGCCGCCGCGAGGCAGAAATGGGGTGGCAGCAGCCTAAATTCTGACTCACCTGGCTTTTCTCTAGCCGAAGATGGTATTTTTCGAGTTCAATGCATAAAAGGACTGTATCTAACACTTTGTAGATGGGCTCGTCGACGTTCACCCCATGGGAAACGATGATTTGTACCTGGCGGACATTCAGATTGGCAACCCACCACAGACGGTCAAAATGGCGTTGGATACCGGCTCCTCTGATGTGTAAGTTAGACCTCAAACAATTCTTCAGAAATCACTTTAACACAAATCAGGTGGGTGCAATCGACAGATACCAAATATCGCGTCAATAGAAACGGACCATATGCGCCTCAATACCGTCCCAAAGACTCCCACACCTCGTCTCTTCTCAACGAATCTCGCTGGGATGTCCAGTATCGTAAGTATATAAATTTTGATCACAGCCTGCTTATAGACTTTAATTAACTTCCTTAGTGGATGGCACCTCGGCGTATGGCATAGTATACCAGGACACGATTCGATTCGGCAACATCGAGGTGGTCAACGCGACCGTGCAATCTGCCCAGGCCATTGCCACGCGTTTCGAAACGGACATTGAAATGAGCGGCATCATGGGGCTGGCCAAGCGCCTGCGAAACAACATTGATCCTCCAGTGCCGACCTTCATGGATCTGCTCACCCCGCTTCTTGACTCGCCCGTCTTTACTGTCGACTTGAAAAGAAATGACACCGGCCAGTTTGAATTTGGCCGCATCGACATGGCCAAGGCTTCGGACAATATTACCTGGCTCGATGCGGTCGGTAGAAGTCCTCATTGGGATGTCAACTTTGATCTGACGTCATGGACCATTCCCGATCAGACGTGGTGGTATTATCGTTTCTCTGGCACGATTGACACTGGCACGACTCTCATGTTTTTGCCTAGCGCCCTGGCCAGTCGCTACTGGTATAGCGTTCCCGGCATGCGCCGCGCCGCCAATCTTGATGGCGTGTACACTTTTCCGTGCGCCAACACCAAGGATCTGCCCGATCTGCTTTTCAAGCTTCCAGGCACGGAGCACGTGCTGACCATTCCCGGACGCTACCTCAACTACGGCCCGTCGGATCCCAAAGGTGAGTACTGCTGGGGCGGCATGCAGAGCTCCGAGGGCATGGAGATTGTGGTTCTGGGCGACGTAATGCTCAAGGCGCTGTTTGTGGCGTTTGACCTGGACAAGCAGCGCGTCGGATTTGCCAACAAAGTTCTCACGGACGAGATGTAGATTTTAAATTGCCGACTACATTATTTCGACTGTCATTTTTGCTTTGTACCTAGAGACAGTAAAATGAGGGAAGCAAAGGAACAAGTAGCATCCATTATGTGTAATGAATAGTTGACAATTTGCTTGTTTTTCCTTTTGCAAATGATGTCATTTACGCCATCATTCAGCAGCAAATCCCCCACATCACCTCTGTTCCAAACCATTCTTTTCTTTGAACTTGTTGCTGAGCAGGGACACAATGCAGTTTGGTCACGCATGGTGAAGCACGGGTCATGTCAATGATTGGTATCCTGGAGAAAAATCATGCTATACAATGATGCGCGAAAGATAGGCAACGTCTGATAAACCCCCGTCCATCGTGTCCACCAGGCTGGCCGTCATCGGTACAGACAACATTTCCACTTTCAACTTTACTGAGCCTTGTTATAGCTAGAGGTTGCAAGAGAAGAGTCCACAAAAATCCAAATCAAAAATAGAAGTAAGAGTACGGCGTTGATTGAAGAATTTTTGGGGAGAAAAGAAGCCATGATGGCACCTAATTGGTGGTGTTGTTCTTTGTACCAAGTTCTCTTTGCAGCTGGCCTTGGGGTTGATGTCCGCGATAATTGGTATTGGGAGTTGGTGTCGAGTATATGATGTGCTGAGCTGAATGCCCATAATGCGAAGCTTCGGGACTGGCAAAGAAGAAAGCAGGTGACCAATGGACAATGCGGGGTCGACGGCTAGTATTAAATAAATGAATAGGTTATACGACCAACAGAAAGACAAAAGCGCTGGTCGTATAAATGCAAGTGGCGAGGAGGGGGGCGTTGGACTGCCAGCTACCCCTTTCGAGATTGGATAGATAGTCCAACGAGTTTGAGAATGGGCAAGTCAATACAGCGTCGGCATCAACCACATGCATCGTGGATGAGGGGGGTGAGGGAAGTCGTCGGCGGCCGGACGGTGCCCTTCTTCTTTCGACGGATATTGTTTGCAAAAGGGATCTGTTGTGTACATCCTTTACTAGTGGTCGCCGTCTATAATAAAGGGAAGTCAAGGTATCGGGTTAGTGAATAAGCTTTCTCGGTCGGCTTTTATTGACAGTCGGCCTTGATGACGAAATGGTATTTACCTTCACTGCCGCCCGGAGTAGGGGGCATGGTACCAGCGCTGGGAGCTTGCTTGGGCGCACGAGCGGTGCCGGGGCGGGACCGAGCCTTGTCGTCCTTGTCCGGTGGAGGAGGCGGCGCGTGAGTGGGAGCGTGCTTGGGCATGTCGGACGTGTTGAGCTGGAGGTCGGGACGCGATTGCTGGCTCCTCTTGAGACGCTCTTCCATTTCACGGAGGCGAGCCTCGAGCGAGGCAAGCTCCATTGTATTGCGGTTCACTTTGGCTCGTCTGGAGACTTATTAGCTCGACGTTTGGCGGGAGTTGGGAGCTCAGGGGGTCGGAAGGAGCTCGAGCTTGGTGATTGAGGTAGATTCACGCACCTAGTGTCGACCTGCTGGTCGAGGTCGGCAACCGAGTTGTCAATGCGGAAGATGTTCATCAGCTCATCGGAAAAGGAGCGGGCGACGGTTCTATCGTCGGAGTTGAGGGTTAGCCTTCGCTGCTGTTTCTCGGACTGCTGAATCTCGTGCTGGTAGTCCATGGTGGGTGATTTGGCTGTTGTATTTGCGGTTGCAGGCTGGCTATGATATTGGGATTGCTTGGCTGGTTGATCAAGTGCGTTTTCAACGGATTGGCGAATTGATGAAGAGGGGGAGAAAGAAACAAGATGGCTGGAAAGAAGCGAGTATAATAAAGAAATGGGAGAGTAGCGACCATTCCTTCTCCACATGGTGTGGGTGGCCAGATAGGGATCATGTTTCGGGGGGCGGTATGCAGTACGATTGAATGGGAGAGGAGGTTGTGGATAGATGAAGTATCAGGTACTCGGAAATGGAGACAGGTTTTGGTCTATTCGCAGGAGGAATGCAGGACCCGAGGTTTCTCTCTAGAACGAGACCGGGTGGTTGTAGTAAGTAGGTAGACGGCGGTGTTTGTAGAGACGTGCTGCAGCAAAGCCAGGCAAAGCAAGGTAAGGTGCAGGCATCGAGAGTGGCAGCCATGCGATGCCATGCAACGCAGGTGATTCAAACAGGAAATAGGCGACCCAAAACCAAGGACGAGATGGTACTTACGATAGAGGTCGGCGGCTCTTGGGCTTCCACTCGCGGTCGAGCTCTTCGTCGGTATAGGTACGGTCAGTGGTAGTGGCGTCCATGTCGAAAGTAGCGAAAAGGATGCTCATGTGCGCTTGGAGCTAATTCAATGGATTTGCAGAAAAGATCTGGCGATCGATGGATTGGTCTCTTTTTCGTTCTTGTCGCCAATTAATCAGCTGGTCGTGTAACTTTTTTTTTTGTCGAGCTTTTTGTCGTCCGTGAAGGGGTGAGGCTATGACGTCGCGGGTGTGAAGGCAGCGCAGCGAAATTATGTGGGTATCGAATTAGGAGAGTGAAGAGGAAAAAAAAAAGGGGACGTGTCTAAAAGGTTCAATGTGGTTTTGTGTGCGTTTGCGTCCTGCAGAGTCGTTGTAATCTATGTCGGTTCTGAAAACGAAGAATTAATGTGAAGAGTGAAAAACTGAAGAAGAAAAAGATGCGAGATGAAGGACTAAAGCAGACTAAGAAAGATGTGGGATAAGGGTAATTGGCGTCGCCCTGCGTGAGGCTGTGGTGAACCCTCGAAAGCAAAAGACCGGGGAGGGGGAATGTTCAATCTTAATATTATGGGAGATTGAATACAATTTCTTTGTCCAAGATAAGGGGGGGTGCAGAGGGGCTGCGCCTCAGGCTCCCTATGCATCTATGCCGAGCTCGGAAAAGCCATATCCATCATCATCATCATCATCATCATCATCATCATCATCATCATCATCATCATCATCATAATCTGGGCCAGAGGAGTCGAGTCCTTTCGCACGGCTTGCTGTGCCAGTTGTACAAACGGCGGCATTGGGGCTTGATTCGGATTGTAACCGCTGCTATGATAATCGACCGTGCATTTCGTGGCTTGCGCTAAGTCATCAGTCATCACTGGCAAACGATACGTGTCAGCCCGCCTCTGTGGGGAAACCAGCATCTCCCGCCAGTTGCAAAGCTGCAACTCGTGTCCCCTAATCATCAACCCACCCGAGGTCAGTCATTTGCTATTGCATGCGCTTGTGATGTGGCTTGCAGGCAAATCTTTTTCATGCTCTTTTCTTTTTTTTTTCTCTGCCAAAAGAGAGTTCAAGTGCGCATTGTAGCCGCTGAAACGCAGCCTCCTCCATGAGCAAAACGTCATTTCCTCTCATCCCGTCGTCGAGCTGAAAACCCCAGCATTCACCCACCAGGATTCCGGTTGATTTGTTGTCTGAGCCTGGACACACAAAGTCGGCCCTTGCAGGCCTTATTCATCTCACATCTCACATCCCTCAAACTTGTGCGCGCCAGCCGCCGGCGCTATTATACGTCACTGTCCAATATGCCAATATCGCATTGTCTTGGACTCCTTTTGGAGCAAGGGGCGGCGCAATGCAGAGCTTTCAGCAAGGGGGGGCGCTAACTTAGTTGGCTATATAACCACTGGTATGCCACGTTTACACTAGTTACGGTCTCTGTCGTTTGGGCGGAATTTCAGCGCGTAAACTAAGTGCTTTCACCGTCTAACAAAAAGCATCGGCCTCTCTCCAGTTTACTCCTAGAAATTTCGCTTTTGTGATCTGTATACTACCTATCGTAGCAACAGCTTCCAATTATATCCATTTCGAGCCAATGTGAACAAAGAACATGTTCTACAGCAAAACAGCCTTATACTGATAGCCTTGTTAGAGCCAACTCCACCACCAAGCCGCCCCTTCCCCAGTGTCTACCAGTAAATTGATTGACCCTTCGTATTGTAATTTCACTAGTGCCATGTGCGAATTAAAGATGCATGCGAAATCTCGATTGATGCTCATTGCATGCAATCAATTCCCACGCTTCAAACATTTCGACTATTTACTCTCCATGCTCGTGACCGCAAAGACCAAATATTTGACAGCAATATACGATAGTCATCATGCCCTGACAAATAAACCTTACTTCTGATATAAATAGCACGCAACGGGGTACCTCGGCTTGATTGTGCCCACCAGCGCCCCCCTTCCCCCCCCCCCTTTCCCCTTCCCCCCTGCTTGCCCCTGCCGTCCATCCGATCACAAGTCAGCCTGATGTTCGTCACAACAACTAATTAGTATCCGCAAGCCAGATACGCAGTCCGACTCGAAACTTTTTCGCCTCCCTATGCTTGTTGTCGAGTTTCCAGTACATGCCGTCTCTTGTTTGATAGTTTGTCTGGTCAGGCCTACATTCCCCCTCGACCCTCTCTTTCTCCTTGCCCCTGCTTTTCGGCGATGGCAACGCCCTTTTTGCCCTATGTCCCCCCCAGCACATACGTAGAGAATACGATTTAAAGCTGCGAGGAAGTTTCGTCATCAGGGCCTTAACTAGTACTTCGTATGAACAGGTGGTTGAAGCTCGTCCAAACACGCCGGCCGACGCGCGACCAAAGTTGGAATGTGATAATGGCTGTCATGAATAGCTGTACATCCAAACTCTCGTCAGAAATTCTGCTCCTCGTATATTTCTGGCAAGGAAAAGCAAGAAAATCAAACTAGTCCCGACTACCTATCCAAACGGTTGGGTTACAGTAGTGAAAATATGTACCTGAAGTGAAACAATTGTAGCAAGCCCGCTGTGCCATGAAATAGCAATCTAAAAAACAACACAAAAGATGTCTGCCCCCAACTCCGTTTAACCATATCCGTGACCCAAATTCGTGTCCAAGCTTTTGTTCTTGTTCTCTTATGCCAGTTCGCGCTTGTGCCTGTACGGCATCTGCGTAGTGACGCAAACATTCCAAGGCAAGTGCATCTCCATTCCGGCGCGCGAAAGGGCCGGATTCTCGCTAGCGTCCGTCAGTTTGAATTGCGGTCGCCCATTTCAGCAATCTCGCTCCGTCAAGGAGGCTTAATTCGGCAATCTCGTTTCCCAAAGTCTAAATGCGGATGTAGGGCTACCCGCATTCAGCTCTTCTCGAGCTCAGGAAACTTGGGGGTGCCGCAGTTGTCGTGCTTCTTGGCCCACTCGTTGATGCGGTCCACCATCCAGCCCGACTTGTGCTTGGGGCTCTCGTCTTCGCTCGCCTCGGCTGGCTTGCCGAATCGCACCGCCGTCGCCGTCGAGCAGATGCCCTTGCCGAAACGAAATTGGACGCAGGCCTCCAGGCTTTCGCACGCGGCACGGCAGTGCTCAAAGTCGAGGTGCGCCTGCTTCTCGGCGTCGTTGTAGCCAGATTCTGGCTTGCGCAGCTTGGTCTCGTCCTCGTCAAACTCCCGGCTCGTAGGATCAAAATAAAAGACATCCTCGGAGAGGTTGTCCCAGTCGTCGTGGTCGTTGCGCAGCTTGGGTTGGATAATGTCGTGAAAGACGTCCTTGATGAGTACAGGCGACTTGAACTGGCGGTTGCGCTCAAATCTGTCGAGTTCGTCGATTTCTTCGCTAGCGGCGTGATGCATGGTGATAATAGGCTGGCACCAGTGACCGTCGTAAAAGGGCATCGAGTACGGTTTTTCGCCGTTGATAGTGGGAAACTGTAGGGTGACAAGTTAGCGATTGTGTTTCGTTGTTGCATCAATGATGCGTACCATGTTCTGGACGTCCAGCTGGGCCTCTTCCTTGATGGCATAGGCAAATAGGTAGTCGCCGCAGCAGGTCGTCGAGGCCTTTTCGTCATACTTGTTGGCGACCTTGGACTTGCCGTCAAACATCTTCTTCATGCCGGCGTTGGAGACGGCATAGCCGCTGCCGCCGTGGCCAAAGGGGAAACCGCCTAGCAGGGCGACGCTGCCAAAGTAAACAGGCTTGGAGGGGTCGAGAAGCTTGAACCACTCGACGAGGGTGGGCCAAGAAACGTAGGTGTCGGCGTCAATGTAAAAGTACCAGTCAAAGTTGGATTGGTTGGCCCAGTTGGTTTCGGCAATGTGAATGTTCTTGTACTTGTCGAGGGACCAGCCTTTGCCGGCCGTGTCGTAGTCCTTGTTGCAGTGCTCCTGGTCAATGGGACATTTGGCCTGGTGATGATAGATTTCAAAGTCTTCGTGGGCCTTGACCTGAGGGAGGACGTCGGTAAGGGCGTCAAAAATGCGCTGACCGGCAATGGTCTGGTCCATGTCACTCCATATTTCGTAATGGGGGACACACTTGAGGTTGGTCATGAGCTGAGTGGGGATGCGATTGTAAGCCTCAGAGGCGCCCGTCTTGAGGACGACAAAGATGTTGGACATGTCGGGAAAGTTTTCGCAGCCGAGCTTGACGGCGGGGGTCGGGGCGGCAGCAAGAGTCTCTTTGGGCGGCCGGCCGAACAGCGTGCCCGGCGTCGAGCCATATGATGCCGTAGGCAGCAGTTCGCCGGGGCTGCTAGTGTAGATCTCGAGTAGTTCTTTTTCGCTGCCGCTGGTGCTGGTGCTGCCGCTGCTCAGGTCTGGATAGCCAAAATCAAAGGGACCGCTGAGGCGCTGCGAGGTGAGTAGCAGGGTGCAGCCAAAGATGACAAAGGCGGCAACCACGATGAGGTTGCGCCGGGAGAGCATTCTTGCGTTTGCCAACATAGGCACAAGCACCGTACCGTGTGTCAAAGAACTGTGACAAAGGCGACAAGTGCTGAATGAGAGTCGCCCAAAAGAGCAGAGGCCGGAATATCAACTCCGTTTTCTTTATCGGACTTGATGTTAGGCGAATATAGGCGCACAGTCGATATCAGGGGAAATATATGGGTGGAATCGAGATGCGGGATGCCAAGAGAGGGGGGATTGGGGAGAAAAGAGGAGAGGCGAGCAAAAGTCCGGATCAAAAGTAACACGAGGTCAAGATTCGTTTTGTATTACGCGAAGGCTTCCAACAAACAACAAAGCAAAAAACAAAAAGTAAAAAAATGAATTAGAAACGAGCGGGAGTCGCGGGGACTAGGACATTATCTAACACGGGCAGATGGCTAGCTGCCTTTTCCCATCCCTCTTTTTTTTGTTTCAATCAAAGTTCGTTTTGCTGCTTTTAGCAGCATCGAGGCGGACCTGGCGTGGCAGGCTGGCGACGATTGGTGGGTGGAATGGAGCCAAAAGCAGCCACCAGCACTACGCAAGCTCTGAGCGCCAGCCCAAGCCCTGCTTTAGCGGCTCTGCGGCAGCCCAGGCACGGCTTTATTACAGTGGGCGGGGCCATTGGCCAACGAATTGATTTTTACTAATCCAGCAGCCTGCGGTGGTCGGTGGCCGCTAATACTCCGTAGAGTTTGCTGGTGTGAGTGGCAAGTGGGTGCTGATGCCGTGCCCTGGCGCTATATTGGGGTGCCATTCACTTGCCGCAGCTGTTTCGTCTTGATGTCGAGTCGGACGACATCATGGAAAAAAAAATGAATAAATCAGGGTTTTTCTTGCTTCTCCTCTTTTCTCGTTTTTTTGCCTCTTTTTTTTTTTTCTTCTTTCTGTTGCATCATGTAGATGGCCAGCAACCATGTCGATAATACCTAGATAATACGAAGCCGCAGCCGGCAGGTCAGTGGCGTCCAATGAGGCTTTTCTTATTCTTCTCCCACAGCCGAAACGCCACTTCGTATATCCGTTACGCAGTTTTTGAGCTGAACGGCCAGATTGTCTTCAAGGTAAACCTCAGCACACGCCCTCTCGTAACAGAATCACACGCTATTCGGATGCAAACTTGGATACAACATATGCAAGTATTGAGCGGCTGATCTGGCCAGCGCTATTTTTCTGGTAGGCTGCTCTCATGCCGCCGCCATAGGCCCTTGCTTGCATAGCACCTAGGTTGCTAGGTTATTAGTAGCGGGCGGCCTTAAATTTTGACTTCATCTTTGCGGCCTGGAGGCTGGAGGCTGGAGCCTGCAAAAAAAACCCAAGTAGGGAAACGTATGTCCCCAGCCTATCACTGCCACCCATCTGCCAACGTGCTCGGCGGGCTGAATTCGACTCTCCCCTGCTTGGCAATTCTTGAGAGTGGTAAATTACACAGACGAGCAAAAAGACAAATTCCAGGGGTATTCCATGACGAATTGACGATTCCCTCACAGAAGACAAACTTGCGTCCTCGACAGCACGTTCCTCGGCCTGTTTGCTCCGCCACGGCCCGACCGACTAACCCCAGAAAAATCGCTCTTATTAACATGGATATAATAAGACCAACTCCAGCAACCGGATCCTAAGACAGGTCCTCATGGCGTCATGCCATCAATCCTCGACGACTCTGGCCCCTCAAAGATTTTCCTTTTTTTTTTCAGCCCAGCGCCGCCTTGCATCAATATCAGGCAAGCTAAGCCCGAAACTGCTGAGCACGGTCGTCGGCCCTACAAGCTAACGTTACGAATTCATCTGCGCTGCTTCTCGCTTGGAAGCGAAAAGGGGGTTCGCTCTCCATCTCTTCAACAGCCGCATGAGCGCTGAACAATTGTTCGCATCCTTCGTCACCCGCCGAACAGTGGATGCACCCGATTTACCTGTTCAACTGCCGGTGCCACGCGTCCAACTGCGCGCGGGAAAGCCATTAGCCGGCTCCGGCCTTGAGTGGCTCCCCAGCCGTTACCGGTTCGGGCTTCAGTCTCGTGGTCAAGTCGACGCTGACCGGTCCAACCAACCGACACCACTGCAGATTTTGCATGTCCCGATCATCAGGGGCTGCACATATTGTTGTTTCAGCTGACCGATTAATGAACGAATCAAAACCTGGGGTGCCATGTCTTGGCAACGTCCTCGGCCGAGCTATAACTCGCCGCGGCATTCTGACGAGAGTGCACAAGTCATAGTAGGCATGATACGAAAAGATGGCAAGTGGCATCAGTTAAAGCAGAGACCTTGATTGTAATAATAACCCCCTTCCCTCCACCGCTTTCAGCAAGCCGCCAAAACGAACATCGACTGGGCACGCACAGCCGAATCCCACCACCATTCTAATTCGAACCTATGTCACAAACATTACTTAAAATCGCTTATCCAATGCCATATATCATATATTCGATTTCGACCCCGTACTTTGCGTACGAAACAGTCACGCAACAGTGGCCATGGTTGCGTTGAGTGTATCACGTGATCTCGCGACAAATGTTTTAACGTTTCGTGACGCACAACGCGTAAATCATGAGCGCTTCTTCCTCGGTGAAGCAGCCACAACAGCATGAACATTCAGCGCGGCTCACGTCGGGCCCGCCATGTTGCTGCCAACACGGCGGCGAACCAGGCCGCCCAGACCGAGCAGCAGCAACCACAGCCAGATTCGCCGCCGGCCACGCAGGAGGATAATGGCCGTAGTCTCTTGCCGCCCACGCGGCCGCCGCAGACGCGCAATATGCACAGAACCCCGGAGCAGCGGCAACCGGAGAGCGACGACGAGCATCAGATGCCCACCGTGGCGCCCCGGGTAAATCCATTTCGGTTACATCGATGTAAGTTGAGAATAGCGCTCGAGTTGTGGTGGTGATTTGGCGAGTCAATGCTTGCGAGGCAACGCATAATTGTCGGGAACAAGCTCTGCAATTTGACGCAAACTTGCTGCAGAACGTTGTCGTGTTTGTAGCTTGACAAAAACTTTTGGCGCAAAGAAAAACATGAGAGACCGTTTCCGTTTGGCTTGGGTGGCGGTCGGCTCCAAGTGGTGCTTTCCGCCGGTTGCTGTTGCTTCTTTTATGACTGGGGCCGACGGCGCTTCTGTTGGAGAGCCGCTCGGCTCCATGTTTCAGAGTAGCACAGTGTTATTCGGTTATATTACTTTCAACTCGAACATCTTCTTTCTCTTGGTTTTTCGTCTTTGGTTCTCTGCAAGCGCAGCCGTGGTTCCACATGCCGCGACAGTATCTCGAGCCAATTCCCATCACACAGGGCGGCGCCCTTCTGCGACGGTCCAGCTCCCCGGTGCACGCGGAGTGGCCGGTCGCTCAGGTGGAAAACTACGAGGCCCTCATGAACCGCCTGAGCCGCCTGGACCGTGAGGCTAGCAGCATGTTCAGCCGCATGCGGCAGCTCTCGGCGCGCGTGACCGAGCGGTCAGTCGGCTGGCGGGCGCGGTTCGGCGGCAGCGTTCAGAGGCGGCGAGAGCGCAGCGACGCCCCGCCGCCGTCACCCTCATCGAACGAAGAACTGGATGCGGGCATTGACATGGAGCCGGATACAGAAACGGAAGGCGTCGAGGCTGACCAACATGGCGATGCAGCAACGCGGGGCACGACGACGCCGCGCCTCAGCATGCCCTTGGGGTCCGACGCCTCGGACTCGGACCCGGATCTCAGTGTGCTGGCCATGGCTAGAGGCAGTGGTCGCACGGGCGCCGCACAGGGCCCAACGAGCGCGAATACGTTGGAGGAGCAGGTGCTGCTGCAACAGCAGGCCGAGGCCATGGCGTACGAGGACGAGGTCATGTCTCAGGAGCAGTACGAAGCCGAGGATACGAGCATCGACGAACAGGTAGAAGAGGAGGAGGAAGAGCAAGATGAGCAGGAGGTGCTTGTGGACCCAGCTTCAATTGGACTCAAGGAGATTTCCAATCTCGGGAAGTTTACGGTCAGCAGCCACAAACCTGGACACGGCGTGCAGGAATTGCGGAGTGACGATTTAAAGCTTTACTGGCAGTATGTGCTACAGTCATAACGCGTAGATGGCGGACTGACCCGAGTCTAGATCGGACGGCCCGCAGCCACACAAGCTCACGGTGTATTTCGTCAAGCGCGTCGGGATCCGGGTGATTCGATTCTTCGTCGACTATCAGGAAGACGAGTCGTACACGCCGACCAAGATCCTGTTCAGGTCAGGGACGAGCGAGAATAACATGATTGAGTTTGCGACAATGACCATGGACAACCCCTACGGCTGGCAGGACGTGCCCATCAGCGGGGCCGGGGGCGAGCCCGACGGCAACACGCTCGTGTCGTATGTGCTGCAGATGCAGATTTTGGAGAACCACCAGAACGGCAAGGACACGCACCTGCGTGGCATCAAGATTTACGCCTTTGACCCGGACTCGGGCCAGCAGGCGGGCGGGCGGCGACAGCAGCAGAACGACGACGCTGAGGGCATCGCGGCCATGGTGGCGAGCAGCAAGCAGGCGGGTGACGGTGGTGGTGGCGGTGAGAGACTGAGCGACGTGGCAAGGATATTGGCGTCTTCGAGGGTGCAGGCGGGCGAGAGTGCGTTTTCGGCGGCTGATTTCTTGAGAGAGCCGGAGCTGCGATAGACACAGGTATGGATGGTTACGGAATGTGGACCAGGCGTTTATGGTACAGACAAGATGATGATGTCTTTGCATTAGAATGATTGTGCTCGCGGAGATGCGAGCTTCTAGAAGGAATTATGACACTATCGATATTCCGGATGAGCTCCTAGATTTTTGCGACCGTTGGTTGGTCAAGTTTTATGCTTGGATACTTGGAAAGTTTGTGTGACCCTTGAACCTGTAAGCAACGGTGGCAACTGCTCCTGTCGCATGGTGTTTACAATTACCCGCACTTCAATGTGGATTCACCGAGCGTACGGTCAATCGCAAGATGTATTTGCACAGCCTCGAATAACGATGGAGCAAGGGCAAGTTGACGGTAAGGCTGGCGGCGGAGCTTTACCCTGTAGCTTGTCAGGGAGGAAGAAAGACGGTTTACTGAGCGAGTGAGGCCTGGTTGGACAGGAGAGATAGAATCGCGCCTCGTTGTTTCTTAGGATTATGGATATAGTTCCCTCCACAGAAAGGTGGCGAGAGTATTTGGAAGCTTTTGTTACAGGAATTGCTGGTCATTTGACGCCGAGGAGATGTCGTTGGGCCAGGGAATAAGCTGACCCACACAAGGGTTATCACCGGGCGGGGGTTGTGGATGGATTGGTGGATTACAGCTCCTTGTTTGATCCAGGAACTTGCCCCGACACGAACTATCTCTGTAATGGGGCGATAATCAAGCAAGTTCGTGAAATGCAAGGCATCGCGACATCTTATGAAGAGCGAGCCATAGCCGAGTCAGCGTCGCAAGTACAGATGCACAAAGGCCGCGGCTGGAACCTGCAGGGCAAAGTCCTTGTGGCAAGTGACCTCTTTTTTTTTTTTTTGCGGGACAGACTACGACGGCCGGGAGGAGGGTGATCCGGTCAACCGGTGAGTGCCGGCGTGGCGTAGCGAGCTAGCTTTTGCTGCGCAAATGACACGGTTTTGCCAAAAGAGAAGAGACAAAAGATAAAGAGAGATAAGAAAGTGAGAAGTGTCCTTTCTAAACCTTGAAGAGTCTACACGTGCCCATGGCCGTAACTACTGGTATAATTTTGCCTTTGTAGTGGTGACTAGGTAGGTTGTCTTCCAACAAGACTTGGTAATATATATTTCACTGCAGGGCGTGAGGCAAGCTAGCGTCTGCCGGTCGAGGGATTGAGGACAAGTCTCACGCCAGTGGCGCAGCGCCAAGTTAAGGCCAAACCTCACTATTTTGGCCAAGCAACCAAGGCTGGGCATTTGGGGTTGTCTGCCTTGGCCGCCAAATTGGAGACTCGGAGACTTTTGCGAAGCAAACGGTCGGCCCGGCATAATACCTAATTGATTAAATTGATTGCCGAAGATAGGGCTCTTACGGGCGGTCGTGAGTGCATGAAATATTTTTGAGCCGTATTCAACCCCGCGCCCAAGGGCGTATACGTATGTATCTATCACCTATGTACTGGCCGGCTTATACGGCACGATGCAAGCCACACCACTGCCGCAGCTTCGTCGCCCGATTCGCGACACTGAGATGGTGTCGCCAGTCAGCTTTGTCGCCAAGTGGTAGGCCAAAGAAAAAAAAAAGAAAAAGAAAAGGGATAGAGAAACATCACAACTCAGAGCCAAAAGCATTGCCGGAATCAAACGTAATTACCTTCCAAGCCTCGGCCGGTGGCAGTGCTTGAGTATCTTCTCTGTAACTCGGCGCAGCCTCGCGAGATATTGGTAGCGAACGGCAAGTCACCACCAGCTAGTCAGTCTCCACTAAAGCTGGACGCCCAGCGCCCGGCCAGCTAGCGAAGGAGCAGCGCCCCACTGATGCCGTACCCCTGCCTGCACCCTGGTGGCTTTCCAAACAGGCCCCCAGACAAAAAGTCAGCCCGTCCGTTGGACCGTCTCAGACGTCATGCCAAACCAGCGCAAAACGAACCACATGCTCGCCGCTATTCAAAAGCTGCCCTCTCCCACCACACCTTTTTTTTTTTCAAAGACGTCCTCTTATTTCATACACACCCATCCCCAAGATACCCCAGCTTTTCTTGCAAACGATTTAAATTGTTTCAAAGTCCTTTTGCAATTTTCTTCTTTCTTCGGATTAGCAGTCAAACGCACGCGCAAAGCAGTCGCATAGCCGCGGCACCCATATACTACATACAAACAAAATCACCATGTCTTCGGGCGACCCCATTCTCAACAACGGCGAGGGCACCTCTACCAAGTTTGCCGACGAGGAGGCCGCTAATCGCTCGCCGAGAAATGGCAACGCGCCAGGCCCCGGCGGCTTCGTGTCCCAGGCGCGCATGACAGTTGTGCCCCCAAGCGAGGATGACTTGCAAAAGAGTTACGCCAAGGTCGTTGGCTCCGAGGCCAATCCCAAGGGCTGGTACGGAAGCATGGGTAAGTTTCTTTGTCTTGGGGATATTTAATCGAGAGAAAACAACCGACTAATACACCAACCCCCACAGTCAACGGCATTGGCGCCATCATCGGCACCATGGGTGCCTTTCCCTGCTGCTTCTGCTGCCCCAACCCCTACAAGTCGGTCCAGCAGGGCAACGTCGGCCTCGTCACCAAGTTTGGCCGCTTCTACAAGGCTGTCGACCCGGGCCTCGTCAAGATCAACCCGCTCTCCGAGCACCTGCTCCAGGTTGACGTCAAGATCCAGACGGCCGACGTGCCCGAGCAGGTCTGCATGACAAAGGACAATGTCACGCTCCGTCTCAAGTCGGTCATCTACTACCACATCGTCTCCCCGCACAAGGCCGCCTTTGGCATCTCCAACGTCCGCCAGGCCCTCATGGAGCGCACCCAGACCACCCTGCGCCACGTCGTCGGCGCCCGCGTCCTGCAAGACGTCATTGAGCGCCGCGAGGAGATTGCCCAGTCCATTGGCGAAATCATTGAAGACGTCGCCGCCGGCTGGGGCGTCCAGGTCGAGAGCATGCTCGTCAAGGACATCATCTTTTCTCAGGAGCTGCAGGAGAGCCTGTCCATGGCCGCGCAAAGCAAGCGCATCGGCGAGTCCAAAATCATCGCCGCCAAGGCCGAGGTCGAGTCATCCAAGCTGATGCGCCAGGCCGCCGACATCCTCTCCTCGGCCCCCGCCATGCAGATTCGCTACCTCGAGGCCATGCAGGCCATGGCCAAGAGCGCCAACTCCAAGGTCATCTTCATGCCCGGCGCCGCCAGCAACGTGGCCTCGACTCTGGGCCAGGCCGTCAACGCCACCAGAGACGACGAGCACCAGGATAATGGGCTCAACCAGGTGGTCCAAGCCCGTGTCATTGAAAATATTTGAGCCCTATGGGAATCCGAATCATGATGCGCACATTTCTGAAGGAAGAAGAAAACCCCAAAAAACCCCATTGTACACTTATGGATACCAATCTTTGATACCCAACGAGGAGGACGACTATCACGATTCCCACTGCGATCGATTGCTATTTTTTAATGCCCCAGTCTGAACCATGTAATGATGGCTACATTTTACACACAAGTTTGAAATAAGGACATGCATTCGTCACCCTGTGCTCATCGAACTCAAGTCATTCGTGATGCAATGTACAGTATTTAGAAAAATTTCATCTCTCGCTCATATTCTTTGACGTTGCCAACTACAGGTCCAAACTCGGACAACTGCAGCCTCGAAGACGAACCACTACACTTTCTCCGGTGAAAAGCAAGCCACATAAATGTCAATTGTTCTTTTCAAATCCGCGCCCAATGCCGATATATCTCACCATTAAGAAAAAAAACAAATACAGAATCGCACGTCACCTTAAACGCCGGCCAACCGGTTTTGGCAAGAGAAGAGTTTAAAAAAAAACGATAATAAGAAATGTGCCCAACCAATTGTGAAACCCTGCGTGCAACGCAGAAACGAGAATATGCTGGCAAATGCCAACACCGAAAGAAACAACACGGCTCGTCAATGCGCCTAAACCTTGATGCGAGGGCGCTTATTCGACTTGCCAAGCGGATAACCGTCAGCAACTTGGCATTGCTCCCGTTTGGCCGCAACCTTGACTGAAGCTTTCTAAGCCTCAGATTGCTTCTTCTTCTTATGCTTCTTCTCCTTCTTCGGCTCGGGCTCGTCCTCGTCGTCCGAGTCGTGCTTGCGCTTCTTCTTCTTGCCCTCGTCGGCGGCAGCCTTGGTCGGCGTGGCGGTGGCCTCTTTGCGGAGCTTCTTCATCTCCTTCTTGGAGAAGACGCGGGGCTCGCCGCCCTCGATCTGGATGTCGCCGCGCTCGTACTTGCGCTTGAACTTCTTGACGGATAGGCCGGCAAGGTCAGCCAGACGCTCGTACTCGGACTTTGACAGCTTGGCAACCTTTGGTGTGGAGACGTCCTCGTCGTCGCTATCGGCGTCTTCCATCTCCTCGTCCACCTCGACAACCTCAATCTTCTTTTGCTTCTTTTCCTTCTTTTCCTTCTTGTCCTTCTTGCTCTTCTTCGAGTCGCCGTTAGTGGTAGCATCGGCCTCATCCTCTACACCATCGGCATCGACGTTGTAGCGGCGCGTCTCCTTGAGGGTGAACTGGCCCGGAGCCATGATCTCACCAGAGGGAGCGACATTGGTACCCTTGGGCAGCAGAGGGCGACCCTCAAGTTTGCGAAGGTGGTTCTCGAGCTTAATGCGGCTAGTCAGACCGAGCATGGCACGCTCATCATCTTCTGCGTCCTCGTCGTAGTCGCCGAGGGCATCTACACGGAGACCAAGAGCAGTCTTGGCAGCCAGCATACGGGCAATCTTACCCTTGTTGCGGCCAGTTGCCTGACCGATCAGGGAAGAGTGGTAGATGAGACCATACTTTGGCGTGTCGTGCTTGGTCTTGAGGGCACGGAATAGAGCCTTCTCGGCACCGAGAATCTGAACAGTGGAACCAGGGGCTTTAGCGAGGCTGAGGAGAGAACCGGCGTGGGCGACGAGGCGGGCACCAACGAGGTAGCCAACAAGAGCAGTCAGGTTGGGAGCAATGGCGCGCATACGGCTCTCGAGGTAGGAAGAGAGCTCGGCACGGTAGTTGGTGTAAACGATGACTTGCTCGGCGAGGAGCTGGATATTGTGCAGGTCCTCCTCGGTAATCTCAGTACCCATACTGATTTCAGAAGCGGCCTTGATAGCAGCCTCCATCTCCTCGGGAAGAATATCGGATAGATCAGACTCGGACATCTTTTCACGCATGCCGACCTTGAGAACGAGGCGAGCGTAGGCCAAGTTGTCGCCAAGAATCTTAGCCATCTCGGGAAAGTGCCAACCATACCATTCCTTGGTACGCATGGCATAGACATTGAGCTCCTTATCCATGTCGTCGAGAAGCTTGATGGCCTGGATGATCATGGAATCAATCTTGTTGGCAGAAAACTTGAGCTTGTGGCGAGACATCGAGTGAGAGAGACCAAGCGACATGCGATCGATGCTCTCCTGGTTGAGACCGGGAATGAGCGAAGGGAGATGCTCACGGATGCCACGGAAGACATCCATCGTGTTGGAGCCAGCAACGGGGGAGATGTTCAGGTCGGGAAGGTTGGAGATGGCGGTACCGAGTTTCATGTCGGCGACGGCGATGGAGGCCTTCTTCTCGGATTTGAGATCCTCAAGAATCGAAGAGAGGAGTTCGGGGACCTTGCCCTCCTTAAGTGCGGCGGCCTCTTCGAGGGCCATGGCGGCGCTTTCAAACTTGACAAACTTTTTCAACTTGAGCCTGCAAAAGGGCATTAGTTACCGTGAGATCTCGACAAAAGACATTTATGACTCCCTACATTTCTACCAACTTCTCGGGGCGACCGAGCTCGGCAGCGAGGTCGTCATTTTTGAAGAGTTTCTTGTCCGCAGACTTGAACAGGCCGTAGCTGCAGAAAGTTGTCAGTGACTGCCACGAAGAAAAAAGGAAGGTACGCAGCATGGAAAATCTTACCCTGCGGGCGTCTCGGCAAGAACAAAGAGAGACATTCTAAAAGCAAGCGCTCCCTACACACTCCTGCAAAAATCTGTAGTCGTTCGTCGTGCTTGCGGTGCGCAATGGCGGATCAATGTGCGCGCGCAAGTCGTGGTGCAGATAGGTTGGGAAATTTTTTTGACAAGCTCTGCCATCGAGACCAAAAATTTTGGTGTCGAACTGGAGGCAGAAGTGGGCTAGTGCGGAAACCGGCGTTTTAGTATTTCCGACTTGAAAGTTCGCAGTGGCAGCCGCTAGACTAGCCACTCACGTGGAGCCAGCCGTCAGTGGCCGACCAGCTTCAGCGACATTGCTCGAGCTAGTCTGATCTCTGCAATTTCAACATAATACACATATTGTCGACATATTGCCTCGAGCGCTTCTTGAAATAGCTGCCGGTCAAGATGGAGGGCCTCTTCTTCAACGCCAACAACGGGTGCGTCTGACGCGAAACGATGGAGCCTGTTGCAAGCTAACTCGCTCCAGCTATCTCGAAGGCATTGTCCGCGGTTATCGCAACAGCCTGCTCACCACCCCAGCCTACAACAACTTGACGCAGTGCGAGACGATCGACGGTAGGTTTACGAGGCGCTATAAGTACGCGCATCAATACTAAAGCCACATAGATCTGAAGCTCCAGCTTGGCCCAGCTTACGGCGACTTCCTGGCTTCACTACCCCCGAACCCCTCGACCTCTAGCCTTGCCAGCAAGACGACCGACAAGCTGATCTCTGAGTTCCGATATGTCCGAGCCAACGCTGTTGGCTCACTTGCCACATTTATGGACTACGTTACGTACGGCTACATGATTGACAATGTTGCGCTCCTCATTACCGGCACGCTACACGAGCGTGACACCCGCGAGCTTCTGGACAGGTGCCACCCCCTCGGCTGGTTCGAGACCATGCCTGTCCTCTGCGTCGCCACCAATATTGAGGAACTCTATAATAGCGTCCTGATCGAGACACCCTTGGCCCAATACTTCAAGGGCAGTCTGAGTCACCAGGACCTCGACGAGCTGAACATTGAGATTGTCCGCAACACTCTGTACAAGAACTATCTCGAGGATTTTCATGACTTTGTCAACACGCACCCCGACATGGCCGGTACGCCCACAGCCGAGGTCATGTCCGAGATGCTCGAGTTTGAGGCGGACAGACGAGCTATCAACATTACGCTAAACTCATTTGGCACGGAGTTGTCAAAGGCCGACCGCAAGAAGCTGTACCCCAGCTTCGGCAAGCTGTACCCCGAAGGCACACTGATGCTATCCCGCGCAGACGATGCCGAGGGTGTGCGCCTGGCTGTGGACGGAGTCCACGACTACAAGACCTTTTTCGATGCCGTGGCAGTAGGTGGAAGCTCCGGCGCCGGCAACATGGGTGGCGGCAGCACCGACGGCAAGAGCCTGGAAGATCTGTTTTATCAAAAAGAGATGGAAATATCCAAGAGTGCCTTTACAAGACAATTCACATATGCTATTATTTACGGCTGGGTCAAACTACGAGAACAGGCAAGCTTCACCCTCTCAACATGTCCGTTCTGAAACCATACTAACGCAAATCAGGAAATCCGAAACATTACTTGGATTGCCGAGTGCATAGCTCAAAACCAAAAGGACCGCATCGGAAACTTTATCAGCGTCTTCTCCTGAACGCGGATTGGAATTGTTTGTTCTCAGCAAAATTGTAGTATAGCGCAGCCATCAGGCTTAATGTGTCGACGGAATTCAGTAGACGATGCACAGTTTCCAGAGAGGCAGAGACAATGGGCTTGTGGTGGTTTTGTTCAAACAATGGCTTAACCTGATGCTCTTGTGGCTTCTTATTGTACATGTAGGAAGTAAAGTTATGCTACAGATGCTTCCGCTCCTTTTTACATCATCTCCCCAATGCTGTGACGGATTATCGCAGCTCAATCTGCCCCTTCCACATGGCCGGCGTCAGGCCCAGCTTCTCAATCATGTTTGTCCAGCGACCGCTGCCCTTTTCCTTCTTCTCCATGTACCGGAGTAGCTTCTGGCGCTTGTGTAGCATGAGCCGCAGGTTGCGCTTGTTGTGGATGTCCTTGTAGCCGCGATTCTCCGACAGCGCCTCGGCGAGGTTGCGAATCTTGGCCGTGAGGATGGCCACCTGCACCTCGGACGAGCCGGTGTCGGGCCCGGCGCGCGGGGGCATCTCGACGGTGTTGGGGTTAATGGAGGCGGGTTTTGGCGCCACCACGCCGTCGGTGCTGTGCCGCCCAAACTCGTCGACGATGCGCCGCACGTTGAAATGGTAGCGGTCCTTTTTGCAGCCGTTGTCGAGGGCGGTGATGCGGCGGAGCGCCTCGACGGCGCGCGCGTGCCGCTCATCATGCTGAGAGGCCGCGCCCTCGCCGAGGGGCTCGTCAATCTGCGAGCTGACGGCCCCGACGACGGGTTTGGTCAGCGCGTGCGCGTGTTGCGCCACTTCATCAATCTCGGCGTCGGTGAGGTAGTGGCTGCGCGGCGTCTCGCCGGTCGCGCTGCCGTCGGCGACGGCGGTGGGCTGGTCGGCGGTCTTGAGGGATTCGAGAAAAGGTGTCGTGCGGCCCCAGATGGGGTCGCCGAGGAGGGAGTCTCGCTCGGCCTGTAGCTCGCCCCGGCGCTTGAGGTTGGCGTTTTTGCGCTGCTGCGCCTGCGCCCATCGGTACGGGTCCTGCTTGGCCTTGCGCGTGCGCTCTCGCTGCGAGAGGTTGGCCGTCTGGATGAGCGGCGTGAGTGACGTCCTGGACGCGGTTGTCGCAGGTCGAAGGCAGACTGGGGAGACGGTATCAGCTGGTACTCATATATCGGCCGTTGTTGCAAGGCTTTTCGGGTCTGTTGGGTAAGAGGTGTCAATTGTAATGTGAACTTACGCTTCATAGCGCCTAGACGCTGCATTGTCTCTAATCTGGGTGGCATTGTGGCGGAATGTGGTGATATCTGTCGTTAAACCTCCTCCCCAATACCGACCTTCAAAAATTCGTACTACTGCGATTGCTCGAGTTGCCAACACAGGAGGTTCTGGCTCCATAAAATCCCAAAACAGACTAGTCTTGGAATCACGTGCATAATCGACTCCCTTGGGACGTTCTCGCTTTTGCAGACTGCACTAGCCCGAACACGGATTAGCGCAATCAGGGCTCTCGCACACAAATCAGGTAAAATTGAATTTTGGTGGGCTGTGGGCTTGCTGCTTTGCATTGTCGCGAACTTTTCCCAGGACTCTCACAACCTTTCTTCTTTCCCACCCCCTCCATCCGAAAACGACAAGAAATCCGTCAAGATGGCTCCCAACAACCTGCCGTCCGTTTTCAACGCCACCAGCCAGGACATTGAGATGCTCCTGGCTGCCCAGTCTCACCTGGGTAGCAAGAACTTGCAGGTGCACATGGAGCCCTACCTGTGGAAGACCCGTGTCGATGGTGTCAATGTCCTCAACGTCGGCAAGACCTGGTACGTGGATGGAAGAAGCTGAGGGGAGAGCGCTCCTTGCGCGGTGGTGGAATCGGCTCGGCCGGGACTAACGAAGAATTGCAACCACAGGGAGAAGATTGTCCTTGCCGCCCGCATCATTGTCGGCATCGACAACCCGGCCGACATTTGCGTCGTCTCTGCCCGTCCCTACGGCCAGCGCGCTGTCCTCAAGTTTGCCGCCCACACCGGTGCCACGCCCATCGCTGGTCGCTTCACCCCCGGTAGCTTCACCAACTACATCACTCGCTCGTTCAAGGAGCCGCGCCTCATCATCGTGACGGACCCCCGCACCGACGCCCAGGCCATCAAGGAGGCCTCGTACGTCAACATCCCCGTCATTGCCCTCTGCGACACCGACTCTCCCACCGAGTACGTTGACATCGCCATCCCCACCAACAACAAGGGTCGCCACGCCATCGGTACCGTCTGGTGGCTGCTCGCCCGCGAGGTCCTGCGCCTCCGCGGCACCATCTACTCGCGCGAGACCCCCTGGGACGTCATGCCCGATCTTTACTTCTGTACGTTGCCTGCGATTCTGCGCACCCCACCTGGCTTCTTTTGAAGACAAACTAACATGAGAATCCAGACCGTGACCCCGAAGCCGAGGCTGAGGACAAGGCCGCTGAGGAGGAGAAGGCCGCCGCTGAGGAGGAGGCCCCTGCCGCCATCGAGTCTGGCTTCCAGGCCGCCCCCGGTGACTGGGACGCCGCCGGCGCCGCTGCCGGCTTCTCTGGCGCTCCCGGTGCTACCGGCGCTGCTGGCTGGGACGGTGCTGGCGCCACTGGCGAGGAGTGGGGTGCCCCCGGCGCGACCACCGAGTGGGCTGCCGACGCCGCCAAGGACTCCCAGTGGTAGAAACCTGGAGATTCTCAGGCTGCTGCCGCTGACGCCTCCTTTGCTGGCGGAGCTGCTGCTGCCGAAACTTGGTAGACATGTTGTGTTGTGCAAATCGGCTTCTCTCATTTCTGTTTTTCAAAAAACAAACTGAAGCTGTTATACACGACCCATGGACCACGGCACAGCCTTAGATTTTCTGAAAGAGCCAACATGAAAAAAAAAACAACGGAGAAAAACGGAAGAAATTTTGAAAAAGGAGCTGCTTGAGACTTGTTGCGGGTAGAAGAGGAAAAGCAAACCGTGGTTACACGCTGTGCTGGTACTAATGAGGGAAAGATACTCACCCACTGGCGGTTGTCGACGAATCTTTCATTCATCAGTTTGCAACCCAAGTGACGGAAATCTTCTTCATCGAGAAGGAATATCATTGCTCTATTGGTGCTCGCTGTTTTTATTTTCATTTGTTACATGTCGAGTCGTCGGAGGGAGAGGGAAAGCCCTGTACTGCTCGGCGCAAAAGGGATGGACTTGACCGTCGTTCCCGCCCGGGAAGCTCGTCTTCTTCTAGATTACATCGCAATGAGTCGAATTCTTCTTCACGTCTTTGCTCCCACCGTGATGACTTAATAATCGTATCGCTGTATCAAGTTTCGAGAATCTGTGGGAATGTACTTTATTCAATTGTAAACATTTGTAAAAAAGAAAAAGAGTCTCTTTTCGTGTCTTCTCGCAACACACAAAAGACTCGGGGTATATCGGCCGTGCCCACTCCTGTGCCCTCCTTCTCATTTGTCTCATCCATCCTCTGCAGACAACCGTCCGAACGTCATCATCCAAAACCACTATATTCACAAAGAAAACAAAAAAAAAAAAAAACATAATGTAGTAAGCAGACAAACAAGATGTAGCAGTCCCCAGCGAATGTATGTATGTTTCTAACCCCCCCAGAATGAGACTCAAGATGCATCTTCTCCGAAACAAGTATACAAGTAGGAATCCAGAAAGAAAAGTGGTCGAGACTGATTAATAAAATGTAAAAGCGATTGTCAAAACCCGCGCCGTGGTGATGTATAGGTAAGTCCAAGTTCGGAAAGCAGGGAAAAAAAAGTCCCGAATAATGAATGCATATATGCTTCGCTTTGGCGCTAATGTCATTCTGAATCAAGAAAAAGCAAGAGCTCGTGTCGCGAATGCGTGCTAGGCTTCAGAAAGAGAAAATGCTGGGTATGATAAAGGAATGCGGATGATGATGACAGTTGTATTAAGCTTCCAGTGCTTCTGAATGACTGCGGATCTCCTCGTCGCTGAGCGCGCCCACCCAAAGACAACGCTCCGTGATGCCCTCGATGGGTCGAAACGTGTAGCGCGTGCTGGACTCCAATAGCCGCAGGAGGACCTTGACCACGGCCGCTGCGATGCGGCAGCGCTCAAAGTTGACGAGCGGGAGCGCATCGGGCGCGGCCGCCACCTCAGACGGCCTTTGAGCATTGTACAACAAGTCGTGCGTGTAGATGCCCACAAACGGGATGCAGCCCGTGTCGGTGCCCACCTCCATCTCCGCGCGGAGGTTTAGGAAATTACGCGTCGGCGTCACCAGTGCCTCCAGCTCGGCCAGGGTGCGGAGGTCGTGCGGCGGCACCAGCGCCCACGTTCGTGACAGGCGCGTCACGTCATTGCTCGACAATGCTATTGTGAGCTGCGCGAGCGTCGCAAAGTTGCGATAGCGGCGGCAGTGCGCCGCCACATGAATCATCTTGATGAGGCAGCGCGCGCGCTCCTCGACGTGCTGCGTCAGCACGATTTCCGAAATGGCCCATTTAACCATGATGTTAAACCGTGCAATCACTACCTCGACGCCGTGCGCGTCACTGTTGCGCAGGAAATCGACCCATGAACGAGAACCACTGCTAGTAGCATTCTTCCAATTCATCTCAATCAGCTCCTTCCAGTCGATCTCGTTGAGCGCGTCCTTTTCAATTAGCGTAAACTGCTGCGCCAGAATGTCCGAGTCGAAAGCGAGGATAAAGGGCAGGTGCACGGAAAATTTCTTGAAGCCGGCCTCGGGCTGCGCGGGTCGAAGCATCTCAAGCGCGTTGGGCGACGATTGCGAGCCGGGGAGAGTCTGCGTAAAGGGTACCGTGGGTGTGGCATCAGGCGTCGGAGGAAGGGGCCGGGACGCATACATGGCTTCGGTAGACTTGAATGCAGGCGATGCCAGCTGTCGGGGCGTGGAGAGAGGAGGCGAGACAGGCTTCATCATAGAGTCTGCGATGGACTCGCCCAGAGGATGGGGTGGTAGCTTGCGTCTCGGGCGAAGGAAACTGTCATTCATTTGTGCTGGCGTTGGTTCCCGCGTCGACATTTCAGAAGAGATATCAGAATTGGCGTAGCTGTCATCTTCAAGAAAAGACTGATGGTCACGAGGAATGGGCTGCGTGTGTCCAGGCATGATTCTTTCCATGCTGTCTGTCTTTTCCACCACGTCGTAGCTTTGATCCTCGGAGGCTTGAGCTTGCTCATCAGCAGATGCGGCATCATTCAGCAATAAAGTATTGGGAGCCTCGGTGCTGGCGACTGTGGATAGATCTTCTGAATCACAGAGAACAGACTTCTCCGCCCAGCCACGGCTGAGTCTTACGCTGCCACCGTAGTCGGTCAACCCCCTATCCAGTAGTGGAATAGAGTTGTACGAGTCCATCGACGCCTCGGAGAGGAATGAGTGCACCCCAGTGACCTCGCTTTGAGGCAGAGACAAATCTTCGGTTGCGTCGCGGCCCAAGCTCGAAGCATTTGAGTTGCTGGATGCTTGACGTCTGCTGAGTGTACTGCTTGCTGGAGCGCCGCCGAGAAACTGAAGAGCACGGCCAAGCTTCTCCATGTCAACTTCTTCTTGCGCCTGTCCTGCGCTCCCTTTGGAGCCCCGGTTGAACTTGCCCTCCAATTTGAGCAGCGCCGACTCAATGCCGCCATCGTCTTCGTCATCTGGAATCTGGGCGAGCCGTCGAGCCTCGGCTTCGAACGAGGGTCGCGCTGGCGGCTTGGATGAGGAGTGCGTGCTGAAAAGTGAGAGCATCTTTGCCTTTTCAGGCTGCTGTTTCGTTAGTTGACCGACAGAAAAGACTTCCTGGCGCCCTACATGGTAGTCGTCGTAATCGCATTCAGCATCCAAACTCGACTCAGGGACTCCCCCCAAAAAGCTCATGCTGCGGACAGACTCAGAGTACGTGGCAATGGAACCGACCGATCGCGACCGTCTAAGAGGGCTGTTTTGTAGGTCCTCAATTCTAGTAGCGGCACGTAGGTCTCCGCCAGGACGGCGGCGAAGTACACGAAGAGGCTCGGGTACTGAGATTTCTGAATCGCGCACAGAAGTGTCAGAAAGAGTGGCAGCATCCAGGCTGAGAACAGTCGCCGGAGGCATTGTGCCGCTACCAATGGAGCTGTGACGACGTTGCAGTACAGAGTTGAGAGATTGATGTGTCTTGGCAGAGCGAGTGCGCCTGTGCATCCGAAAAGTGCCACCACTAGGAGGTGGGTAGCGTCGACTTTGGCGAGATGAGGTGAAGGAAGGCCTACAAATTCCTTCCGACGTTTGAGAAGATTCATCTCGAAGTGTTGAGAGATCTGGAATAAACGGAGGTAGTACGTCGGGGCTTTGCACCGACTGAGGGTGGACGAGATAGGACGATCGGCGAGGAATATCGTGATCGACGTTGGGTGGTGTATTCGGTGGCGTGGGATCAGAAGTGGCAGGCTGAAACGAATCGGGAGTCTCGACCAGGTGTCCATCGTTGCACCGGAGCATCGTGCTGCGATGCATTTCGAATGGAAAAGTGTCGTCGACAATGACAATCGACTTGCTGCCCGTGGTAATACCCATATCGCTGGTCGGGCGGTGATGCTCAAAGGGAGGCAAGCCGCTGAAACGGAAGAGACCACACGGCTTGTCCGGCAGAGGGGCCGATACAGGACCGGGAGGTATGAGAACTTCTGCCTGCTCTTCACGCACTGCCTTTTTGAAGTCCTCGGCAACTTCAGCACCCAACAGATCAATGCGGACTGCTGGCCGACCACTGTAATGCTGTGCTTCTTCCTGGGGAACCACAGCTGTACCAGGCAGTCGGCTCGAGGCCACATCACGAGGCCCTACAGGCGAGATGCGCGTCAAGTTGGCCTGCGTTGGGGCGGTGACCTGTCCGCGCGCGCTCAGTGCGCGTCTCACGCTGGCGAGAAGCTTCCGCATGCCGATGCCAGACATGGCGCCGTGAAAGGGCTTGTCCTTGACCATGCGTCGAGACGTGGGTGTGAAGATGGTCGTTTGACGATGAGCCATGCCGCCGCGATCTTGGGCCGAGATATCCACAAAAGCCTGACCTGGAGGGAGAAAATTGCCACGAACTAGACTACCGGCAGATGGCAGGATTGTGGGAAAGTCGACATCGTTTGAAGGCCTCTCAGAGAGGTGTTCGCGGAGTGAGTCGTTAACACTGTTGCTGCGTTTGTGTGAATGGCAGGGGCGGGCCTTTTTGCTGACTAGAACTCGAGGAGGGACTGAAGCAACTCCGGAGTGTTGTGTTTGGGCCGTCACTGGCACTGGGTGAGGATGGGCAGTCCACTGGTGATTGGGATAGGACGGCATGCCTTTCCGTACCTTGCCGGGAAACGGGCAGGAGATGACATCCGCGCTATCCAAGCTGGAGACCGATCCTACTTGCGCACGCGCCAAGTCCATGGCGATATATTCAGGCGTCAGTGGTCGATCACCAAAGACGACGAAGTCGCCAATCTTGGGGGTTTTGTTGGGGTCGGTGGAGAAACCCACGTCAGGGCCTTGGTGCTTGGTCAGAGATGAGGAGAGTTGTGGCTGGCCTCCGACAGCTTCCCAGTACGACGGAGTCAAGGTCGGATCTCTGTGGCCGGCAACGCCGCCAGGCGCAACTGCTACTCCGACACCAAGCGCGTCGTCAAAGTTGGGTCCATCCCAGTAGTGAGCGCAGACCCTCCGCCAACACTTTTTCAGCTCGGCAATGACTCTGAGCTGAGCAGTCCTAGTCTGCACATTGTCGGAGAGATCATCGACTACGCCGTTGAGTAAATGGCAAAATTCGTTTCGAAGGTCGTAATTGAGGAGGAAATCGTCAGTGAAGTAGTTGAGAATCCAATGTCGAGCGGCGACAAAAGTGCGGACGCGAACAATCATGCCGACTTCGTCTTGGCGAGCTAATGCCCAGCGCATTCTCGCAAACAACATGCGCAAGAGATGGAGTGAGTCCAGAAAAGATCGATAGGTGAGAAAGAAGTCAGATATGAGTTCATAGTCGAGGAAGCTTGGCGAGGTGATTTCGGCAACAAGTCGTGGTGGTGTAGCGGCGGCAACAGCGCCTGTTGTAGGAGTATAGCGAACGAGGCGGCGATCATCGCATGCAGGGCGAAAGGTGAGGTCGGTGAACATGTCGGGTTCAATGATGAGATGGGTGAGATGGCCGGGTTGCATAGCACGTAGCCTCAGTGACGATGGTGGACGACCGGGGCTCCTAGGCGCAGCATGGGCAGTGATGTCGTCTCGTGACAGAAAGGTCCCTGTTGGCTTGTTCCATGTAAACTCCCCGGTAGACTGATGGCTGCGCGGCAGCGAGTTGAGGCCAGAAACGGAACTGGAGCGCAATTCCTCGGTTGGGGCGTAAGACGAGCCTCGAATGAGGGCAGTGCCACGCGTAGAAAAGCGAGGGGTGCCGAGTCGCCAGTTGGGTATGTTGATGTTGAGGAGCGGCTCGCTGACGGGGAGATTGTCCATTGTGCGGGGGCGATTGTCGAAGACGGGAGTCTTGGGAGGAGCCAAGGCGGCAGCGGAATCGGCCGTCCTGGGAGCAGTTACTTCGTCAATGGTGCTGTCGGAGAGGGCGCGGCGGCGATGTCCCTGTCGGCTGGCGGCGCGCGAGCCGGGAAGACTCGCCATGCTACCGGTGATGGGAGAGTCTTGGGGGACAGTTGCCCATGACATGGCAACGGCATTGGGGGTTTTTATGGGAATGCGACCCGGATTCGAGGATGCTGGCGGGGTCTCAAAGGACTGCGGAGGAGTGCTGGGCAGGTTGTAGGACTGCTGCGTCTTTGATGTGGAATAGTTTCGACGAATCGAGGGTCTGTAGGTCGGCGCAAGAGCATCTATGTTAACAGTGGTCGAGGATAAAGTTTTGGGATATTTCGTGGCACACGCAAGACCAGGATGTGCATTCCAGTGGGCATCTTAAAGGGGCAAGAGGAGCGGCCCGCTTTGCAGAACAAGAAGAGGCGGGATTGTATTACGGAGTAGGGCTGGGCGGAACAGCAACGGGACATACCTCAGATAGATGCGACCATTATTCCCCACATTGGAAACGGTGAATTGGCGTCCGTCGCGGGCCGCCGAAGGATTGTCCCAATTGGCATCCCACTTTTCCGACTCAGTCTCCCTTGCGCCGGCGCGAGAGACAGATCGCTCATGATGGTAGTGGCGGGCCTCTGCGAGGGGGACGAGAGGCTGCTTGACGAGGGAGGGTTTGCGGAGGAGCCTTTGAGCGGTCGGTTTCGAGGACGAGGGAGTAGTGGAGGCGGGAGCGGCAGCGACAGCGGCAGCGGAAAACGAGGATGGGATGAGGGGAGAAGCGTCGGCGGCTCGGGGCGATGACCTCTTGGAGGATTTGGTTTTGGCGGCGGCTGTGACGGTCATGGCTGGCGTGAGCGGTTTCGATCGCGTGATCCGAGCAGGCGAGAAGAGATGATTGGGACAGCGGCTCCGCCGAGCGCAGAGTCTCGACGGTAGACCGTGTGTCGATGTGAGGGGGTCGTGGCAGACGCAGCAGTTGACTGTATATCAAAGGGTTGTGTGTATATGGTGGGTGTCAGGCCGGTTCAATATGGAAGCTGCTGGCAAGCATGGGCATTAGCTTGGGGTATGCGGGCAGCGATGGGCTGGCTACTGGTGCAGGCCGGTTGCTTTGGACGGGATATCGAAGGATGAAGAAGAAGAAGAAGAAGAAGAAGCCTGGATGGGTCGAGCAACTTGTTGGTGTTTGCAGACGAGGTTCTGGTGGCTGTTTTTAGCTCCAACGTACAATGTAGAGAGACGGTTTGCCGCTAACTACCTACCTTTTTTTTTTCTTCCGAGTGAGGCAGGTCGTTGGCCGAGGGGAGGCGCGCGGGGACAGAGCAGCTCACAGGCACCTGGGCGCAGGACGGTGGTGGGCGCAGAGAGGGGGAGGATATTAATTAGTTACAGCAGAATCGCGGTTTGAAAAGGATCAAAAAGACAATGAATGAGGCGATATCAGCAGACAAAGAGGGAGACGGGAAGCAAGCAAAAGGAAAATGGGATTGACGCGCAGCAAGCTACCAGTAATAGTTAGTCGGTAAATTGGTAAATAGTGGTACGCGTGTGTCTCGACTGGTTGACCGATGACTGCCTTGACTTGGGAAAAGGTACCACAGCAGGCTGGCAGCTCGCATGGATGGATGGGCTGGGATGGACCGAGCGACGGCATAATGCATCATGGCGCTGTACGCGCATGAGTGGCTTTTGTTTCCTTTACGGTTCTCTTGTTATTACGGATACCAGTACTATCAATGACCGGGGTTCAAATTTTTTTTTTTCCATGATCCCTGCTAGCACGATTTGAACCGGGATGACTACATGTGTGTGTGTGTGTCAAAATCTGTCAAAAGCCTGCGTGTTTTTGGTGTTGGTTGGGCTGATGCTGAGCACTGCTCTATGCGCTAATTATAAGACTTCCACTTAGAGTCCAAGACAGCTATGAACCATGCCACGGCGTCTATTGGGCGTCCGGGGGCATGCTTGTTGGTGAAAATCGGCAAGTGCATAATGGCATGATGACGATGGATGACACGAGGGCATCGAGGCATAAGAAAGACGCGCGTGCGCTGTGCATGACAAGAGGTGAATTATGCTTTACCAGCCATCGCTGCTGCATTGCAAGAAAGTACCTAGCGCTAACCATGTTTTTGCACCTACCTAACTTATTCCCTGGTGCTCCTCAGATGCATGCATGTATCATCAGTACGTATGTGCTCTGGGTACGAATACAATAATGTGTATTTTGTTTTTATTCTTTGCTTGCCGCAGCTGAGGCTGGGTCGAGACGAAAACAAACGCGGGCGCCAGGAATCTCGAGAGACAAACACGAACGAGTCAGTTTGTACACGGCAGAAACGGAAAATCCGGTCGATTGGCTATGACGACAAAACAAAACATCATGCCTGCAGGCTGCAGGCTGCAGCAGACTGGCAGACTGGGCCGAATCGGGGGACCCCTTACACCACTTGTCCATGCTCCCTGCTGTTCCCCAGAAACAAAAGATGAGAGCGTCAAAGCGTTGCAGAATCTTTTTTGTTTTGTCTTTCTTGACTCTTGATTAGTAGAAAGGAAACAATGTATGATTGTGAATTAAAAAAGGAAAGCATAACACAAGATCAGAGAATGCGCAAGCTAGTCATTTTTTAGCAATCGAAAGACCTGTGAGGCAAAAAGTAAAGAAAACAAAAAGCAAACGGCGCATGCGAGCCTGCATCTGCCATCTGCCCACCTCCACCTGTTCTGGTGGGTGTGTCAGACGATTGATTCTGCCCAGATTTCCCTTTTCCCTCTTTTTCTTTTTTCCCTTTTTTTTTTTCCCTTCTTTCTTGAAACCTCCGCCGCCACCTACAATGGGAAAACTTCATGCATCAAGGAACTCGTCATCATCCGTCTCGGTCGCTCTCTGGCTCTCTGATCTTTTTAGCGGCTTTCTATTAGTTTGGCGGATGGTGGGGCCGGCGCGACTTTTCTTGTCTTCTTTTTATTTTTATTTTTTTTATTTTTTATGGCCAGCTGCCAGCCATTGCGGCTGCCAGCTGGCAGCTGGCAGCCAACCAGTGATCAATTAAATTTACTCGTCTATGAGAAGTAGAATGCTCGCATGATGATGCCCCGATTCAGTCCGCCCATCAGCAGACACGATCTTTCCCCCATGCAATGCTACCACAGCGGCGAGTTGCTCATCAGACAAGATCAAAAAGCTGTACAACTCGGGACCTGTGTGGTACAGAGATGGGGGCTCGGCTCTCGTCAAGTATGGCAATCGAATCCGTGTGACCGATTAATCAAAATTGGTAACCGTTAATAAACCCACATCTGGTTGTTCCTACCGCACACTTATTGAAGACCCCAAGAAAGACCTTTTCCGGTTCCATCCTTCAAGATGGCCCCCAGAATAAGAACGGCACATACATACTCTGGTCAACACCACAAATATGCCTCCTCTTTTTTTATTCTACCCTCTCAAAGTGCTGACGCGTGACCGCAACAACATCCCGGCCCCAGCTTCCGCCTCGCCCGCCTTCTCCTCGACTCTCCGCCTTTCCTGTCGCACATTACTCGCACCACTTGAACAGCCGATTACGTGTAGCAGTACTACATACCTGCCAAGTACCGCATTACTCTGATGCATCATGTGCAGCCATGATGCCACAAAAAGAGAGATCATTATCGTTGCATATGCCGAAGATGGGCAATCATTCTCGTGCCAAACTGATAGCAAACGCCATACAAACCTGCATCCCTCTGTCCATTCCCCAGTATTCCTTGGCAACTCTGCGGCATCTCACACTCTCCTCTGCAGTTTTCCCTCTACAGTCTTCTTTCTATAGTTAGTTTTCCGTTTTTTTTGTCTGCCTGCATCCTTAATCGCGGTATGAACCCGCACTTGGTAAGAAGATTGGGCGCCACCCCTCGCTCGCGGCTGGCGGCTCTACACACCTCGTCTACAAGCAATGATGCGGTCAACACACACCGACATGCAGCCAAAGACTTTACCGCCCTGCTCCGTTTTCCCGCATAGACACGCTTCGCCTCTGTCTTGCATGTTATGCCCAGATTCATCTCCAACCTTGCCGATGCGCACATTTCCCTAGTTATCAAGCCTCCCCATGCTCGGATAAGCGAAGAAAATCCCTCCCCCTGCGTCGAGATCCATCAACGTCACCGTCATCCCTGTATGGTTGACTGCTTTTCCACTCCAAAAATAACGCTTCAGCAACGACTTGTGCCTTCTTTCGTAACCTTTATATTGGTCTATATGCTCAAGAGAATTTATTAGATACCATGCTCTATCCCCTCAGGTCATTCATATTCTCAACTATCAGGTCCACAAACGTCTCCAACACATTGCTGCTCGGGCCCCCTGCCTTGGCCTCGAAGATGCAGTCCAGGATCGTCTTGATGCCCACGCCCACATTCTCCTCCCGCGTCCGCTCCTGCACCATCCCGATCACCTGACTAATGTCACCGCTGTTAAACGACTTGGACTCGTGCAGCACGTTGCCTAGCTCCCGCAGGTTCGACACCGCTGGCACCGCCACCTTCTTCGCAAAGTCCTGGTCGACTTCCAGCATCTTGAGCACCGATGCCTTGGATGTTGTCACAAATACCAGTAAGCGATGACCCTGTATACATAATTAGCTTGATTACTTGTCAAGAGAGTAAAGTGCAACATACTCTTGGCGGCTTCGACACAATCAGCGTCGTCAGAGCTTCCAGCATCACGTTTGAGAAGCGCGATCCAATCGGGTTCCAGCCAATCAGACGCTCAAAGTCATCTAGAATTAGAATACTAGCAGGCGACTTGTACGCATCCGCGAATGCCTTATGCACGTAGTCCTTCTTGGCAAAGTCGTCCCGGTAGCCCACCAAATCCGCAGGCGTAACCATCTTGACAAATGGAAAGTCTGACTGTGTCGCAATGTGCGCCGCCAGAGCAGTCTTTCCTGATCCGCGTGGGCCGTGGAACAGCACTGACGAGTTGAACTTGTTGGGGTCCTGCTTAATCATGCCCACCACACGCATCATCTCCTGGATCGTCGCGTTGATATGGCCCCCGTACGGCAGAATGCCCAGACGGACAGCTTCCTCCAGTTCGGCTTCCGACACGCCATAAGCAGGGCGGACTTCGGTCAGCGCATTCATGAAATCGGCCCGGTTCACCTGCATACTCGCAACATCTTGCTTCACAGCGGCGAGCTGGCCAACCTCGGTGTGGCGAGAAAAGGCAAATGAAGCCGCCGCTTTCACAAGACCGTTCAACTCGGCACCCGAGTAGTTCTTTGTCAGGCCTGCAAGCTCCTCCAGATCAACATCGGCGTCCAGGAGACCGTTCGTCTTCATCTTGGAAGTGTGAATCTTGAGAATCTCCAGTCGACCCTCCTCATCAGGCAGAGAAATCTCCAGATGCACCTCCAAACGCCCGGGACGAAGCAGGGCATCATCAATCATGTCCTTTCGGTTGGTCATTCCGATCAATAGGATATTGTTCAGCTGATCAACACCGTCAAGCTTCGACAGCAGTTGGTTAACAACACTGTCACCCACGCCAGTGCCGCCGCCAGCTCCGGATCCACGCTGCTTGCAGACGGCATCCAGTTCATCAAAGATGATAATGTGCAAGCTGGATTCGTCGCCCTTCTCTTTGTACTCCTTCTCGGCGTCCGCAAACAGCTTTCGAATGTTCTCCTCGGATTGACCGACGTACTTGTTCAGCACCTCGGGGCCGTTGATGACCTTGGGAGGCCTGGCATTGAGCATCTTACCAATCTGTCGAGCGATGAGAGTTTTTCCGGTACCAGGAGGTCCGTACAGAAGCATACCCTTGACGTGAGGAATGCCCATCTTGGCGATCAGGCCAGGAGGGAACACGCGAGACGCAAAGGCACGACGGAAGATGGTGGAGAATTCGTCACCCAGACCACCAATACCCATATCCTCGAATTTGAAATCAGGAGCCAGAATGGCGTTGGAGTTGGGCTTGTTCATAGACGGCTTGAGGTTAAAGTCGCCCTTGCCATCACGATGGAAGAGCACCCGCGTTTGATTCGTCAAGATACCACGAGCATGAGCCTCTCGGCGCTTCTGAGAGCCCTCCTCACCACCCATAGCGAGATCGACTAGCCCGACAGTCTTGACGACGATTCGCAGAGGGATATTGCGAACGTCCATGATCAACGGCTGACCAGGCGCCAGCACCTGGTTTCCATATGTGTCCATGAATTGTTTGGCGAGCTCGTCCTCATCGTATGGCACCTCAGTCTTTTTGCTAGGCGATGCGAAGCCAATCTCGAGGTCCAGAGAGCCCAGATATGCCTTGCCACCAGACTGGAACGGGTCGTAGATTTCGCCGGTGAACTGGTCGCGCATCGTGATGCCTGTCCAGCTGCGTTGAGGATCCGACAAGCTGATGCAGCCAGAGGGAAAGCCCTGAATGGGCTTGGCAGTCACGACAAATTCCCCGACCGGGTCGCCGCCTCGAATGAGCAGGTAGAGATCGGATCCGTCACGATTCGTAGGAAAATCTTCAGCCGAAACGGCGCAACTATGCATTATTAGATTTGATCGGGCAGTCAACTCAACTTATGGAAGCTTACACGTTGCTATAGATTAACTTGACTTGCAGAGTCTTGTCTGCGACCTTTTCGACCTGCAGTGGCACCTGTCGTCCGCCTCCAGCCGGCCCAGTCGGCTTCTCGCCGTATCGCTGTTGGGAGGGTGCCGGTCTTTGGCTAGAACGAGCATCGCCATATCCTTGGGGGGCACCGTATCCGGGGCCGCCTCCGTATCCTTGGCCGGGAGGTGGTGGTCGAGGGTTGCCTCCAGGCAGGCTGCCGCCGCCAAAGGGGCCCCTACCAGGGCCTCCAGGAGGAGGAACTCGAGACATGGTGACGTAGCTTGTTGCCTTGCTCGGAGTAAATAAAGCCAGGCGGCCGGTCCTTGTGTGTCGTATTAGGTGTCGGCAATGTGATATGTAGTGAATTGAAGCGCAACAAGCAGATAAGGGAGATGCAAAGGGCAAAAACGCTGGGCTTGAAACGGGTTACGTTGTTGGAGATCTGTCGGAGCTTGCTGGTCGCGGGGCGGCAACTTTTGCCCCACTCTTCGGGCAGTGCCACCTCCACAGGACAGATAATTAGCTTTACTTCGCAAGCAGGCAAGCAAGGTGACTATCAAACCGGACGAGCTAGGCTGCAGCTAATCCTGATTTCATCTTTTTGTCTTATTCATCATACATCTTGTTGCTCTTCTGTTTTCTTTCCCCTTCTATTAATTTAATCTTTCATTTGTCTCATTCTATAGGTCTAGCCTATCATCTCTCCCCAAAGTCGTTTCTTTGGCACTGATACTTAAGTCCTCAACGGTAGTTAATCTATTCTAAAGATTTCTTCCTTGGGAATTAGTGTCCGGACCTTTCTAAGAGAGAACTGCCCGATGCTTAAGTTTCACACTCGCGCCGAAGCATAATGTTGCGAGCCCAACTTATTTGGCTGCTCTTTAGGGTAAGATGTCACGTACGCTTCTTCACCTAGTTCACCTGCATCACTATTTCGCTATGGCATATCTATACCGAATATTAGGCGCATAATATATTCAGAGAATTGCGCTCTTCATATCGATATATAGATACACTATCCATTACTTCCAACATTTTGGCACACCCGGCAACCGCCACTCAGCATCATGGCCGGAACAGTGCTGACCTCGCAGCGCAATGCTTACCAATGCTTGCCAATCGGGTTCATTGCGGATTCAATAATGTACATAATCAATACTGTAAGCCACCATTGACAATAGTCTCGAGGCTGGTTCTCCAAGCAGCCTCGGACTAAGAAGATCCCTGGCCAAACCAGGGGGACGAGCTTGAGCCGAAGCCGTTACGCGGTGTCGCCGCTGCTGGCATCCATGGCTCTGGTCTCCCAATTGTGTGTGTCTGACCGGAAAATATGAATTTTTTCGAGGAGCTTGTAGTTTCTCCGGAAGTTTGCACCGAGTTGCTTGGCTGTGGTACGCCATTGCTACCCGCGTCTTCGCGCCTCGAGCCCGACCAACTCGGTGCTGGAGGAAAATTCGGTGTTGGAGGAAAATTCGGTGTTGGAGGAAAATTCGTGAACCTTGTAGCACCTGCGGTATCCTTGGCACCAAATATTTTCAAATCTTTCAGCAGCGTGGTTTCTTGCGCCACTGCATTCGTCGTTTTTGGTGTCTCTGTGGTGAGGGTGCTCGTTTTAGCTATGGGACGTGATCAAGTAGAGTCAGCGTTTGCGTCTGTGAAGAGAGGTATTGGCGATACTCACAGATCGAAGTCAGGGGCTTGTATCGATTACAATACTTCAACGATTCCTTCAACTTCTCTCGCTCTTTCATCAAGTCTTCACTGCGAGTCCGAATATCTTCGGTCTCTGCCGCGAGTTCTTTGACTCGGTCATCGCTCATTCCACCAACGCTTGTCGGGGTAAAAATGTATTGAATACGCCGAACCAGACAGCTTTCCACCGCAAGATTGATGATGTTGTCGGTGAATGTTCTGAGAGACAACTAACATCAAGTTAGTAGCTGCAACCTTTGGCACGCAGAGAAATATTCAAGTCTTGCTCTTCACCTCATAGTACGTTTGCATCTTGTCGAGAATATCTCCCGGCGCAAACTCGCCTTCGCTAGGGCGCGATCCGCGAAAAGGAGTCTGCGCAGCTGATCTCCATTAATCGAAACATCTACTTCCTTACCCTCGTCGTCCTTTTCACTGCCGTTGGTGGCCGCCAAGATGAGGCGCTGCTGTTCTAGAATCTGCTTGTTCCGACGCGCGTCAGACCTCGCCTTCTTTAGAACCTCAAACTCCCGGTCCACCGGCAAAGCATAGGCCTCACGATATGGAAGTATGAACTCCTCCAGCTTGGCCTTGAGAACGAGCTCACGCTCTTCAAGAAAATCGTCCACGATAATGCGCAGAATGGCCTCTGTGGTGGGATTGGTGGCAGCCGGCCCGACCACAAACTCCATGGCTTTTTCAACAAAGAGCCTAGCACTGGTCGTGACCATGTCAATGTGGTGTTGAGCCATCGCCTCCCACTTGCGAGACTGTTTTTGGAACAAACGATGAGCGAGATTGTCATTTGTGGTACCGGGGAACTCCAAGCCGCGGGTCTTTGCTGCTTCCCTGTTCAGCTCATCGCCGAAATCCTTGTAAGTGCACTTCTCAGGGTCAGAGACGGGGTAAGGGTTCGCTTCGAGAAATTCGTCCAGCCATTCTCGTCGCTCAGATCCGCCGGCCGTGTTTCCATCGTCTCCGACAATAATTCGATCCGCGCCCTTCTCCCGCAACACGTAATCAAACGCCGAACTAAACATGCGAAGCTGCGCACGAAGGTTATAGTGATCCGGGAAGCGGCGGAAAAAGGCATCATTGTACCGACCCTCTACAGCCTCCTTGACTAGCTGCTGGAATGCGTCTGCCTTTCTAGTGAGAAAGTTGCGCATATCCTCGATGTTCGGCCGCGCGGTACCCAGTCTCTCGAGTTCCTCCTCTCGCTGGGCGAGCTTGGCGCTCATCTCTTGCATGATCTCTGGGATGATGCGACGCAATTGATCAAATTGAATCTTGCTCAGCCTAGCCTGGAGCGCCTTGGCCCCTCGATCTGTACGTGGAATCTTGGCCCAGTCTGATTCGGCGAAGAATTTGTCTTCCCTGCTGTCACGACCGTCAAAATCGTCTGTGTCATTCTTTGTATCTCGATTGCGCATGACATGCCAGCCCAAGTCAAGTTTCGAATCGCCTTGCTGATTCAAAGCTAAAGAGGTGAAATACTTCAATTGGTCGCATTCTGTCTTGTCAGGTTTGGTGATGATTCCGATGGTGCGGCTTTTTGGAACACCAAATTTCTCCAGCTGCTCCCGAAACGACTGGTTATGGTAGTCACCCTCTGCTGCAGTGACCAGCATGATGATGCTATTGGGCTGCTCCAGATAACCGCGAACCAGATCGTCGACTGTTTTGATATCTTCCTTGGTTTGGTCGCCAGAAGTAGTCTTGAAAACGCCCGGGAGATCGACCAATTGCAGCGGGTACATTCCCGACCGTTCAATGCTCAGTCTGAGTACGTCTTTCGAGAAACTCTTGTCAAGCCCAACAAGCCCCATCTCCTCTTTTGCTTGTCGAATCATCTCAGGTAAATCGCTCTCCTGAACGCCGTTGTAGCTGAGCGACTTGGCGGGCCTGCCGTCAGCGAATTGCACGCTGGCATGAATTCGTAGCTGCGGACCATCTCTAAACTCTAGCTCTGTAGCAAAACGCGTGCAAAGTCCAGAATCGGTAGGAAATCTTATGCGAGAAATCGCTTCCAAAACGGATGATTTGCCGGCTTTTTGGCTGCCGAATACAACGATTCGCGGCAAACTGACAATGCTGCCCACGCCGATGCGAGATAACTCCTTGAGGAGGCGGTGCAGATGCTGAGCTTCGGGAGAAACAAGCTTCTGGAGTACCTCTGAGTCGAAAAGAGTCGACATCTTGGGCGAAAACTGAAAGGCAGGGGATATGTAGAAGTAGGTAGATGGCAGAATTAGTCCATGTTAAGAGTGTGTGTTTGCGCCTCTTGATGAAGAGCAAGGGGGGAAAAACACATGACCCATAGTTAGTATCAGTAAATTTTTCATCTGCTCCGAATAGACTGAACCCTGGCTCGAGTCTCATGCGACTGGCCAAAAACGGATGAATCCTGTGAATCCTGCGACGTTGCTTGAGCCCTGAAATTTAGCTAATTGAGATGCTCCATTTCTGCTAATAGATTTCGCCCAAGGTACATAGCAACAAACACAGTACAAAACATCATTGTAGCGACGGATAACCGCCAGGCAGACCACTTGAGACCTAGAAAACAAGGCATATAAAACAACAACTCAAGCGCTATTAAATAATCAATTTAAAAGAGGTCCTCATGTGGTTTTTTCAAGGAGTATAAGTGAACGCGCTAACAATAACTAATGGTTATAGTTCGGCTCTATGTGCTTTGTTTGGCTAGATCAATATTTTCGTCCTAGATAGAAATAGTTATCAGCGGAAATTGAAAATATAGTAGCTGAATTTCAGCCATCCCGTTGCTTGTTGCCTCTGGTGAGGGAAGACGAGGCTACGGTATGAGTAATTGCTGCCGTCAAATCTACGTTTCTGAGCGTACAATCAGCGATCGACACATTTTCACAAAACTTGGGTTTCGAACAAGTTGTTGCATGTAGCCGCTGAGGAGATGGGCGCTGAGCTTCATTTCCAGTAGCCCTCGCAGCCTCCTTTGGCCTGTTGCAGGGCTGTCTCGTCATCATTGTCCTTGCCATCGACATTATTTGAGTTGTGCTCGAGAATTATCTTGGCAAGATCGCCGCCATCGGGTAGAGTCGAAGCGAGGATGAGCGGCGTCCTGCCATTGGGCCCCCGCCGCGTGAGAACGGCGCCGGCTCAGATGAGCATGTCCACTATGTCGATCTTGCTGTAACCGCATCTTAAGATTGCGCGCCACATTATAATGATGGCTTCTGTGGAGATCTACGCTTCGATCTTCGAAAAGCTGTAGTAGATCAAGAGATGCCACTTTTGCTGCTGCTCCGGGTGCTGTTGACTCTGGAGGAATGCTGTCCTCTATACGAGCGTATGGGTCGACTCTGAGGTCAAGCATCATCCGGACTATCTCAATGGCTCTATCCCCCTAGCCGGCAGGCGGTGTGCATGGGGGATGAGAATTTGGTGCTCAGTGACGCGTTACTCCCGGCCTCAATCAATAGTTTGGCCACATTGACATGCCGGTGATTAAGATGAGAAGTTCCGCTGGAAGCTTGATCATCTTGTGAACAGGGATGCTCGATATTCAGCCAAGAAGCAGGACAGGAGTCGATGAGAGAATTCAACGATGGAAACTTTGAGGGAATGATTTGCTGAGGCTTGGTACTTGTCGGTATGATCTCAATACTCCGATGGTGTGCCTCTCCCGAGGAAGACGCTTGTTGAAAGGGAGAGCCTTTAAAAAACAATTGCGCCAGAAGAGAGTGCGAAAGATTGAATTTGATGTTTGAAGAGAATAATGATGAGTGGAAGAGGAGGAAGCAAATTCGGCGAGAATAAGGGCCTGAAAGGCAGACGAGTATGCGTTTGCTAACGGCTGGCGTTAAACAATCGGTGAGGATAGCCAACGGAAACCGAAAAAGAAAAATTGCGTTAATTTCATTTCGCATAAACACTGCATCATTAAAGCACTAAGTGTACACATGGTTCGCATAAATCAACGTCAAGTCTACGCCTGCGATCCGCACTGGGCGGCTTGAATTGCCAGTTCGACGTCGCGACGCCGAAACCCCGGAGACTGACCTAAACAGGTCGAATTCAACATCAACCCTGGCGAATGAGTTAATCAGACAAGAATTCTCAAAGTTATTCCCGTGCTATTACTTACCTCGTAAAAACAAGGGAACATTTATGTCATCTATAGACTCCTTACTGGGCATCATGCGCAGGCTCACGCCTTTATCTATGAGGAAAAGCTCCAGATCCTGCATGTCGAACCAGTCGCCCTCGAAGCGGTCCTGCATATTCGCCGGCACATTAGCCGGGTCCATGGGGACGGTCCAGGCATTGTTGCGCACCGACCACGTCTCGGACTGGTCAGCCGTGTTGGCCCAGGGCAGGGAGAGCGGCGCCGACGCGGAGCTTGAGGCAAAGGCGGGCGAGTAGTGGGTGCCGGCGCCGCCGATGCTGAAGAAGGGCATGCCGGGCTTGGCCGGGAAGTTGGCATGATTGAACGTCTGGGAGATGCGAGTCTGGAAGATGGCGGAAAAGTACGACAGCAGCTTGTCGCGCGTCATGATCTGCAGCGGAAGACCAAAGTGGCGGTGGAGGCGCGTCGTCGAGAGCGTGGGGTCTGCGAGGGCTAGATAGCCGTAATAGACGACCGAGGTCGCGAGCATGTCCATGAAGTCGGAGACGGCCATGCTCGTGTTCATGTCGGGGTAGGGCTTGTTGCCAAAGATATTCTTGACGGTGGCGGGCTTGTTGGGCACTGTGGGCGGGATCGACGGCACGAGAGCCATATTGGGCTGGGAACTTGGCCCGGCTGCCGGCTCCGGCTCCGTTTGCCCATTGCCGGTCTCGCGGACTAGGGTGAGGCACGTCGCCAGGGCATCCCGGAGCCGGCCTGTGAGTTCGCTCTGGCAGGAGAGGATGTTGGAGCCGATGAGCTCCTCGCTAAAGGAGAGCACCACAGAGCTCATGTTCTCAATGGCGCTTTCTAGCTGCTTAACCCTCTCCTCGAGGTAGGCTGTCTGTGATATTTTTCGCTGTCGGTATGCGCGTTGTGCTTCACGAATCTGCTTTCGGCGGCGCTATAGAATGAGAATTAGATTGGCGTTGCCAAGCGTTGCGCAGCCTCTCTTACCTCGCCTGGCCCCTCGCTGCGGTCGGCATCGGTTTTTCTTTTTGCGCCGCCAGCTTTACCTTGCGCAGGCGCCTTATTCTTATTCTTTGCAGATGCATCATCATCCGGGGACTCTACTTCGTGCAGGCTGGGAGAATCGCCGTCATCGTCTGGGATGAATATGGTATTTGAGCTGTTGGATGGCGACTTTGCGCGGGGGATGTTAGCCGTCGCCAATTGGGAAGAGGGGAAGAGGGGAGGGAGCTCTGTAGGTACCGGGTCGTTGAAATTGTAGTTGGAGGAGGCACCGGGATAGAAAGATGACGAGAGCAATCGCTCAATGTCGATGGACTCGTTTGGCCGCGAGTCGTGCCGCATATATAACTGCAATGGGGTGACTGTCGACTGCTGCCCGGCTCTCTGTTGCCGGCCGGCGGGATTGTTGTTGTTGCTCGCGGGGTCGGCCATGGTCTATTAGTTAATTGATGGCGTCTGCGTGTCGCATGCAACAAGGTGGAGGTGATGAGATTTCGCTAGCCTTTTGCGAGACGTAGAAGTAGAGACGGACGGATTTATGTAATTGTATTGTGGTGTCGCTGGCGTCTGGGTTTCTGTGTTGAGGATGCAACATGCATGTGCAGCAGGAAAGGCCTTGGCGCACTTATCTAATTAGTGCACCAATCAGGGGAGGGAGACCAGACGTGGCGGAGTTCCCCTAAATAGCCTCGGTCAAAGAAAGCGGACAATTGGGTTGAGTGTTGGGGGAACGCTGCGGGGATTCTTTGGTGCCTTCATAGCGACAACCGCGCTACAGCCTACAGGCTACCAACGGACGCTTGGAGACTAGGTACTGACTCGCTGGAGGGGATTCCCCATTTAGAGTTTCGGTTACTGATTGGGCTCTTGACGTTATCACATGTCGAAATGGAGATAGCCTCTGTGTAGCAACCTTGCGTAGGTAATATTGAGAAGCGGACATGTTGAAGGAATGAAAAAAACCCGAAACTGCATGGACATGTCGGAGTAACAAGTATGGCATCAGTTTCGCCCACGTTGGAGGTATTTTTGGGGTAACTAGCATCCTCAGCTGTAAATAGAATGTAGTCTGACCTGACTATGAACCCTGGTCCGATTGCCAATCGTGGCAACCCACTCCTTTCCCCCCCGCTGTCTCACTGCTTTCTTTGCTTCTTGGCAGCAACAAGTTGCAGTCTCGTCTGCACGACTCTGCGCGGCAGAATCGAGGGGAAAGCACATAATTAGAATCCAATTTCAAAGGACTTGCCAATACGACTGTACGAGCCACAGCAGCATCTAAAAAGAATATCATTGCCTTGCCCATTGCATCTGTGGCCAATGCAGGCGCTTGAAAACGCCACCGCATGTCAAAACCTTACATGCCAAAAGCCACGCTGCACGTGCCACGCTGCCACGCTGCCACGTGTTATGAGCCAAACAACCCTTTGGGGCAAGGTGGACTGTGTTTCTTGAATCGTGCATCGTGGCTGAGGCTTGGTGAAACAGCAAAAGAAGCCTTAAGATGCAGCCCAACGGCCGGGATTTTCATGCCGTCTATCCGTATCCGATTTAGTAACTAACCGTCCAACTGCCGAGTGCCTAACCGCCTTTTGGCGGCTCTGGCCCATTCCGTCACCTTCAGCGGGCGCACTTGACACTTGACCCGTTTGGCGTTGGCGCGCGCCGGCAGCTTCAGTTCCCGATGTCCGATTCTTCACATGCACGCTTCTCTGTTGGCTGCCCGTTGATCTTCACTTTTATTTTTTTTTTATTTCCGGCACGTTTCCCAAAATAGCCAGCAGATCGGTATCGTATCTCGTGCAACATGGCCGACGCCAATGTCGTGCAAGACACAGCTGCGGCCCCGCCGTTGCAAACTGAGACCCCTCCGAAAGCGACGCCTCCGACGAGCATCGACATTGACAACAAGCCGACGGACTTTGACGGGCAGCTCGCGACAAACGATGAGATACCCTCGGATGCCACGCTCGCCGAGGTTGCTGACTATGTCCTGCTCGATAAGCACGGCAAGTCACATACCTTCCAGAGCCTCTACAACAGCCCCAACGGTGCCCGACGAGTCTTGGTAGTATTCGTCCGCCACTTTTTTTGCGGCGTAAGTCTTGTCATAGAGTCATCCACCTCATTTGGTCGCAGAAAGCTGACTTGTATAGAACTGTCAAGAATACATTCGCGCTCTCGCCGAGTCGATATCCAGCGAAGCTCTCCTCCGTCTTCCTGTCACCACTTCCATCGTCATCATCGGCTGCGGTGACCCTCAGCTCATCGAAATGTACATCGAGGCTACCAAATGCCCGTTCTCTCTATATACCGACCCCAAGAGTGCGCTCTTCGACGCTCTTGGCATGGTCAAGACTCTCGCGCTTGGCGAGAAACCTGCGTACATGAAGATGGGATTTCTCAAGGGCGTCTTTACCGGCATGAGCCAAGCCTTGAGGCAGCTACCTCGCGGCCTCACGCTCAAGTCGGGCGATCAGCGTCAGGTCGGCGGCGAGTTCCTCTTTGAGCCTCTCGATCTGGCCACGCCCCTGACGACGCCCACCGACGGCCAAGGCGGCCCAGCTATCATGGAAGCCTTTGAGCAGATTTCCGGCCAGGGAGATTGCAAAAGACATCTCGAGATCAAGAAGATTACGTGGTGCCATCGCATGCGTAGCACCCGAGACCACGCCGAGATTCCTGAGATAATGGAGCTTCTTGGCCTCGATGGGCACGGCCAACCTATCAAAGACACTGCACTGTGGGAAAAGACAATCAAGACCCGAAAGGGCACGGGGTTTTCCATGGCAAGAAGAATGAATGAATTGACTGCCGCGCACAAGGTAGATGCAGAGGCAGACAAGGCATGATAAGTTGGCCTATCTAAGCTGGGCATTATCTAGGGTTTAATCAAAATAAGGTTTACATTAAAAATATATAATGAATTACGAAGTTTTTCAAGTTAATCAAATCTTTTACTATTGTTTATATCACATATAAAATAATTTTTATATCAAACACTTCTCGGCACCACCCCAGCCAATCGACGTCAAGACGGTCGCTGCAATCATGCACGGCGCGTAATAGCCGATGATCGTCACGGCTACGCCGGCAATCGTAGGAAAGACGAAGACGTCGCCGGAGGTAAATGACGGGAAACAAAGGCGAACCGGCGGCTGCCTATGGCCAAGGATGGAGAAGACGTGTCCGAAACAAATAATTCACGCTGCACGCTGCGCGCTGCACAGTTTGTGTCTTGCCACGGCACAAGTTGAAAGTCCGACAGAAAAGTATCACGCGTCAAGCCTTTTGCTTGTTGGCCTTTTCTATCTTGGAAGTTACAGATTGGCTTCGCGACGCTGGGTAACGGCAAGGGTATCGTAAAGGTGGTGCAGCCCGTCTCATTTCTGAGAGAGCGTGAATTGGTACATGCTGACCGTGCGTGTGATTAACAGTCAAGGCAGAGGGTATGCGGGCGCGTTGAGTATTAGCATTGTACTCAAGCATACAGAGTACCGGGGCTTGGACCGGACCTGTCCGTTGCCTTGCGTGAATAAGAACTTTGACGCGTCTTTTTCTGAGGTTGGCACAATGGTGAATAGACAGTACTTAAAGCCTTATCCTAGGGCTAAATAGGTTACACTGTATGATTATTCTTTTCTCCTTGAGAGAATGATTAATAAGTCTAAAGTACACTCGATGACGCTTAGTGCTAGTCTGTAATATCTGCTGCGAATAGGTCTGAGTCAGACACCTGGAGACCAGCCGTCATCATCAAAGCTAGAAACAATCTCTTGAATCGGCATTCTGTTTTCGACAATATCCTTGCCGTTGATGAGGTCATTCTCGTCTGCACGTTTGTATCCGTCCTGGAGACTCGTCACAATACCCGCCTTGACATGTCGGGCCGCCAGTCTCTCTCTTGCTCGATCAAAGTCGATGTCGACAAACCAAAGCTCGTCAAAGAGTGCCGCGGCGTCGCGCCAGATGTCAGCGTTCAGTGCCACATAGTTGCCCTCTACAATCACGATGCGCTGAGTAGGCCCAATGGTAATGTCATCCTCTATGGGATCCTTGACGGCGTGATCGAAAGAAGGCGCTTTGATTTTATCCTCAAGAGGGGCATTGCGCAGCCTTCTAATGACACCTAGAAACTTGGCAGCGTCAAAGGTAAACGACGCCCCGCGGCGGCTTTGATACAAAGCTGCGTCTGCCTGTGCGGAGAGGTAGCTCCGGGGGTAGTGAAAGCCGTCCATTGGTAAAAAGGCGGCGGGTGTAGGGGACTCAGGGGTTTGCTTTGACGCAATTTCATTGATGCGAGTCGTGATAGCTTCTGCAAATGTAGTTTTTCCTAAATTAAGCAATGTGAGTAGGCGAGCTGTAAAGCTATCGTGTGGTACGGACCTGAGCCGGGGATGCCGGCGACCCCGATTACTAGTTCAACAGTCAGAGCTGCAGATAACATCTAATGCTCAAAACTTACAAACACGCTTGTCTGCAGGCGTAGTCTGGTATATCTGCCATACTTTATTAGACAGTCTTTGCACTTGCTCTTCCATCTTGAATGCTGAGAGATTTGGCGGTGTTGATGCAGGAGATGATGGGAAGTATTGGTGTCACCAAGTCAGTTACTTATACTCGGCACCCCTTAAATAGCGGGCACCCACTTCCACAATGCTGTGTGTGGGTGGCAACCAACGAACCCCGAATTTTAGGAGACCCCGAATTTTAGGAACCCCCGAATTTTAGGAACCCCGAATTTTACAACAGAGGATTTGAATTTTGCAACAACCCCACGTAAAGGCTATGTACCCCTTAACAGAACTTCTCATCCTCCACTACCTATCCTTTGCCAGTTTTTCCTTCTATAACACACACATCGAGGCACGCATTCAAAGGCACGCATTTAAAGGCACGCAAGCTGCTTAGAAGAGGCGCTCAAAGGCACTCTCCGAGGCGCTATCGAAGGAACGCTGGCGCACGCCGCTGGATGCGCTGGAGGCACGACGCTGGAGGCGCTGGAGGCACTCTTGGAGGCGCGCTGGAGGTACGCCTGAAGGTGGTTGTCGTGATAGAGACTCTGAGAGAGTGACTTTGATGAAGTCTGATAACCGCTTCAGACCCATGAAATACTCTAATAGGCAATGACTATGTTATAAGATTTGAATCTTCTGTTGTAAATTCGGGGTTCGGTGGCAACAAGTATTTGTCCCTCTCTAGGTATCGCAGCCGCAGCCGCAGCCTAAATGGGAATGACAGACACTGCTGCTTTAAGCTAGAGCTACTAACCCTCACCCTTATGAAGCTACAGTGAACTTATTGTAGGGGATGACTATAACGCTGATCCTAGTATGCTTAAAGCGGCGTGCTGTAACTGCCTTTTTAGGGCTAGCAGCAGCTGCAAAACCGCTACCTGGCAGGGGACAAATACTTGTTGCCACCCGCGCTTGCCACTGTACAAGATCCTTACCTCTGCCGAACAACTGGTGTGTGTCCGGGCCCGCCGACTCGAGCCCCACCCGCAGAGTTGAACCGACTGACTGTAACCACAGTAGAAGCCTACCAAATCGAGCAATTAGAATACAAATCGATATCTATGGAACTTTCTGCCGAGTAAATAGCTATTTCTCCGCTTCTCTGTAATAATCTACAGCGGTGCACACCCCAGACGTCATATCGGTAGTACCGGCGCGAGGCGGGGTAAATTTTCGGCGGTGCTTCGACACGGGAACCATTTTTTCTTCTTCAAGCAAGTAGCCCCAATCAATACCACACGACTGGGAAAGATGGCCGCTCAAGCAGAGGAGGCTCTCAAGCACCTCAAAGGTAGGATTGAGATTCCGCGGATGGACGCCGATATCCAGAAAAACACTCTCGCTAACCTGGGATCCGGTTAGTGGCGGATGACAAGCCCAATGGCAAACCCGCCGCCCACGACGACGAGGATGGTGACGATTCTGAAGATGAGCCTGCCAACGACGCTGACGCAGGTACTGGTGCCGCCAAAAAGAAGAAGAAGAGAAAGCCCAGAAAGAAGAAGAAGAACCCTACGAGCCAGACGGAGCCGCCAACGGTCAAGCTGAGCCAGTTGTTTCCCAACGGGACATACCCCAAGGGCGAGGAGGTCGAATACACGGACGAGAACCGCTACAGAACAACAAACGAGGAAAAGCGGCACCTCGACAACCTCAACAGCGACTTCATCACCGACTATCGCGAGGCGGCCGAGATTCACCGGCAGGTGCGCCAGTACGCGCAAAAGTCAATCAAGCCGGGCCAGACGCTGACGGAGATTGCCGAGGGCATCGAGAACAGCGTTCGCGCGCTGACAGGTCACGACGGGCTCGCCGAGGGCGACCCGATGGTGGCGGGTATGGGATTTCCGTGCGGTCTGAGCCTGAACCACTGCGCGGCGCACTACACGCCCAACGCGGGCAACAAGATGGTGCTACAGCAGGCAGACGTGATGAAGGTGGACTTTGGCGTACACGTCAAGGGCCGCATCGTCGACTCGGCGTTTACGATGGCGTTTGAGGACAAATACGATCAGCTGCTGGCGGCGGTCAAGGCGGCGACCAACGCGGGCATCAAGGAGGCGGGCATTGACGCGCGCGTGGGCGAGATTGGTGCCGTGATCCAGGAGACGATGGAAAGCTACGAGGTGGAGATTGACGGCACGACCTACCCGGTCAAGAGCATCCGCAACCTGACGGGTCACAACATCCTGCCGTACAGTATCCACGGCACAAAGTCGGTGCCGATTGTCAAGAGCAACGACCAAACCAAGATGGAAGAGGGCGACGTTTTTGCGATTGAGACATTTGGCAGCACGGGCAACGGTTACGTGCGCGACGACGGCGAGGTGTCGCACTATGCCAAGAACGCAGAAGTCGGCCACGTGGACTTGCGTCTGAGCTCGGCCAGGACGCTGCTGAATGCGATTAACAAGAGCTTTGGCACGTTGCCATTTTGCAGACGCTACCTGGATCGCATGGGCCACGACAAGTATCTTTTGGGGGTGAGTTGCGCATTGCACCACGCAGGGGCTGTCTTGTAGGGAGATGGAGCTAACCGTGCACATAGTTGAATCATTTGGTCGGAGCCGGTGTTGTCGAGGCGTACCCGCCGCTAGTTGATAAGAAGGGCTCTTACACGGCCCAGTTCGAACACGTAAGTGGTGTAAAGCGCTTGGAGATGCGTCTCTTTGTTTCCGGCTCGCGGCTTTGCTAACTACATTACAGACTATCCTGATAAGACCAACGGTCAAGGAGGTCATTAGCCGCGGCGACGACTACTAGTTTGACATGCTGGAGATTCACTGTGGGCGGCAATTTGAAGATGAAACAGTTTTTATGCAACTCCGAATCGACAAGATTTTCTGAATGCCAAAAAAAAAAGTAACTTTTGCTTCGCTAAATGCGCCTGAACCGTGCTGTGGGCGCCACGATGTTCGCAGAGCCTCGGAGTGTTTGCCAAACGTAAAGAGATGATTGCTGCGCAGTACCTGATGGTGAATATTTGGTTTTCTGAGGTTCTTGATACACAAGACAAGACAATTGTTATTCTGCACAGATGCGACGCATGTGAAACTCTGCTTGCGCAGAGAGATGTGGCTGAACAGACACGACACGACATGAGCAGTGGCGATGGCATCAAATCTGCAGCTTGCTCTGCATTGGTTCCTCTGGCCAATGATGGACTGTGAGCGATATCCATCCCCTGCAGCATGACGTGGGGCTGCAGCCAGAAGAGATCTATTCGTATGTGCAGTACTCCGTACAGCGGCTTCCGCCAAGTCTCAGCTTATCACATAGTGTAGCACTGGGTGCAGCGGCTCTTGAACCGGGGTCGGCTTGCTGTATTCGGCTGCACCGGAGTTAAGTCGCTTTACGTTTCTGTATGAGATTCTCCCTGGTAGCGGTGCTCTACTAGCGACTGTCAAGTTGGTGAGTGGTTGACTGAAACTCGGAAACAAGTGATTGGGACTACGTTGATTGAATTACCACATCAGAGCCAGCCCAGTACATTAGCTCCGATGTAGGGCAAGTAATAGTAATACAGCGTCAGAGGTGGCATAAGCGGCTCACTCATCTCTGTTTGACCCCCCGCGTGGAGGGCTTTGAGGGGTCTCGCCGCTGGTCCGGGGGTGGGAAACAATACAACCGATCTTCAAAAACAAGAGACGGGGAGACGAGAAAGAATGACATGAAAATGTTTTCTAGCGTCGATTTCATCTTGAGCAACTTCCCCGTGGGCAGTGGACGAGAACGTACGCCTCTCCCAGAAATCTCGGAGTGTATCTGCGGGGGGCCCGCATCGAATACTTAGACTGTCACTCCCTGGCCGCAAAGAAAACCTCGACGGCTCCGGCTCATTCTCGAGCAGCGTGAAACACTAAGCCGCATCGGACTTTTGTCCAAGGTCACACAGCCAATGAAAGACTCTTGATTGTCGTGCTTAGTGGAGCCGAGGCTTATCATATTTTTCCATACAGGCCCTTGGGACCGTTTGCAGCCACTAAAAAACGAGGTCTGCTCGGGCCGCCGCCTGCTAAAGCCGCTACAGGCTCTAACGTCACTGGGGCACATGCTG